ACTCCGTAGTAACACATACCACTCAATTGTAACGTGTACCACTCCGTAGTAACACTTACCACTCAATTGTAACGTGTACCACTCCGTAGTAACACATACCACTCGATTGTAACGTGTACCACTCCGTAGTAACACATACCACTCGATTGTAACGTGTACCACTCCGTAGTAACACATACCACTCGATTGTAACGTGTACCACTCCGTAGTAACACATACTACTCAATTGTAACAGAGGAAGTGTACCACTCTGTAGTAACATATACCACTCAATAGTAACACAGGAAGTGTACTACTCCGTAGTAACACATACCACTCAATTGTAACAGAGGAAGTGTACCACTCTGTAGTAACATATACCACTCAATAGTAACACAGGAAGTGTACCACTCCGTAGTAACACATGCCACTCAATTGTAACACAGGAAGTGTACCACTCCGTTGTAACACAAACCATTCAATAGTAACAAAGGAAGTGTACCACTCCGTAGTAACATATGCCACTCAATAGTAACACAGGAAGTGTACCACACCGTAGTTACACATACCACTCAATAGTAACACAGGAAGTTTACCACTCCGTAGTAACACATACCACTCAATTGTGACACAGGAAGTGTACGACTCCGTAGTAACATATGTCACTCAATTGTAAAACAGGAAGTGTACCACTCCGTAGTAACACATGGAGTGAAACACTCAATAGTAGCACAGGAAGTGTACCACACCGTAGTAACACATGGAGGGTAACACTCAATAGTAATACAGGAAGTATACCACTCCGTAGTAACACATGGAGTGTAACACTCAATAGTAACACAGGAAGTGTACCACACCGTAGTAACACATGGAGGGTAACACTCAATAGTAACACAGGAAGGGTACCACTCCGTTGTAACACAAACCACTCAATTGTAACGTGTTTCACTCCGTAGTAACACATACCACTCAATAGTAACACAGGAAGTGTACCACACCGTAGTAACACATACCACTCAATAGTAACACAGGAAGTTTACCACTCCGTAGTAACACATACCACTCAATTGTAACACAGGAAGTGTACGACCCCGGAGTAACATATGTCACTCAATTGTAACACAGGAAGTGTACCACTCCGTAGTAACACATAGCACTCAATAGTAACACAGGAAGTGTACCACTCCGTAGTAACACATGGAGTGTAACACTCAATGGTAACACAGGAAGGGTACCACTCCGTAGTAACACATGGAGGGTAACACTCAATAGTAACACAGGAAGTGTACCACACCGTAGTAAAACATGGAGGGTAACACTCAATAGTAACACAGGAAGGGTACCACTCCGTAGTAACATATGTCACTCAATTGTAACACAGGAAGTGTACGACTCCGTAGTAACACATGTCACTCATTAGTAACACAGGAAGTGTACCACTCCGTAGTAACACATACCACTCAATGGTAACACAGGAAGTGTACCACACCGTAGTAACACATAGCACTCAATAGTAACATAGGAAGGGTACCACTCCGGAGTAACACATACAACTCACTAGTAACACAGGAAGTTTACCACTCCGTAGTAGCACATACCACTCAATATTAACACAGGAAGTGTACGATTCCGTAGTAACACATGGAGGGGAACACTCAATAGTAACACAGGAAGTGTACCACTCCGTAGTAACACCTGAGTGTCGTTTCACGACGCGTACGTAAAGTTACGAGTACCCGTAAACCGTACGTAAGTTTTTTGGTCCGTTTCACGACGCACACGTAAGTTACGAGTGCACGTAAATAAGTTACGGGTACCCGTTAGTTACGCCCAAAACCTCACGTAACTTACGCCAACAAATACCTGCCGTAAACCACACGTAAGTTTACGTTCAGACGTCATAAAAGTAAACAAATGACTGCCGTATTGTGTCGTGTTAAATAAATAAACTCCAGTGGGCATTACATAGGGGATGAGTGTGTCTAAACCAACAAATCACAAGTAGGGGCCAAAAGTACAGTATTTTCCCAATATTTTACTTGGATGGTAACAGCGACGGCTATATATTCCATGCATTTCTAGATATATTTCATGATTTTTAATGATGAGTTTTGTGATGAATTAATTTAATAAACGATGATATTTATTTCAAAATACTGCAATATTATTTCGTTAGCTGATTTTGAAGATATGATATAATATTTAGCTTAATAATTATGCTATGCAGGTCGTTTTTCATGTTTAACCTGATTATATCAGAAAAAATGAATTTCTGCAAATTTGCTATCCATTTTAACAGAGACGTATACGTCTCTGATTTGAAGAAAAAGTATAAAATTAATATGAAATAAAAATGTGTGAAATTCGATTTCACGGTATATCAAATTTTGTTTTTATAACATTTCCGATTAACTTTAAGATGGGTTAAAGAAAAATGTGTAGAAATGTATGAAAGATGTTGTATGCAATGACGTGCCGTACATGTAAGTCTTCAACGTTACGTCATTATCCCATTGGGTTGTATGTTATTTTACTGGGGGGCTTTCCAATAATTTCCCCTGGCTTCGTTGTTTGATCCATTTTAACGACATTTTGCGTACATCTGCAGAATTATCCAAAGCTTTCGTTAATTAGGCTAATGTTATCACCCATTTCTTAGTTTTTAAATAATAATGAGTTAATTGGCCATTGTGTCCTATTAGAAAGACGCCAACAGTAAATTTGATACGGAGACGAAAACTGGTATCTCAATAACAGAACCTTAGAGAATTATGTACATGTAAATACTACTAGCAAGAACAACGTGTAATTTTCTGGCAGGACGTTAAGTATAAAAATCGGATGTCAAACAAATTCATGAAATTTATTGAAAAAATGTTGATAAATGCAATGGAGAAATGACGTATCTTGAAAGGCTTATGACGCGTCACTAACGTATATCAATAAAGAGTAAGAAATTGATCATAATCTGCCCAAAAAATCACGAACTGTTGTGTCATTTCGTCCGTCCTTTCTTTGGATTCCAGGGTTCACATTACCCAACCTTGGCGCACCAGTTGCAAATATTTTTGTAATTGAAAAATATGAAAGTATGTTAGAAAATGGTTGTTTTATAACGATTTGATCCCGATATAATTGTCATTCGACGAGTACCGCTTTGTGAAACTGTCCCCCAACCGACCTGATCCCTACCACTGAGATCTAGACAACCCCTCATCTCCGAGTAATAGTTTGTACATGTAGATTATGCAATGATTCAGTAGTTGAAAGGGAAAGCAACGGCAAGAAAGTTTAAGTCGACGGAAGTTATGTTTGAAGGTAACTTAACGTTTAACTATCCGCTATCTTGTCGCTGTGATATTGTTGTGGTGCTTCTATTACAACACGTCGCAAGTCTGTCAATCTTTGTGGGTTTTTTAAGATGATAGACTTTTACTGTGTTGCATCCTTATAATAACAATACCTACACAATTAATTGGCTTATGTTTGACTACTGATTCCGGTTCACCCCAAGAGTCCGCGGCATCTCCAAATCCAATAGCTTATTTTTGTTTGTAAACTTTCTGTTACATGTAATATCTGCCCAGTGTTTTATTGTGCCCTCTATAATTATACGAATTGGAAATCATCGGGTTTGTGAAATGATAAAAATCCTCACAATTAATATTTCCATGCCTAAAAATACAACAATATTTAGTTGTATCAGAGTTTTACAAAACAATGTACTTATTAATATTCAGTTGAACTGGCGATCAGATAGTCCAAATAATACAAGTACTGTGACGGACTTAAAATTTAATTCCATGGTACTGTCACATGTGCGATATTAGCTGTACATGTACTTGACAGTTGTTATATTTCTAATTCTAAATTGGCATAATATTGTTATGTATATATACATATATTTTTTTACCTATAACTAGATAACTAATAAGTTGCATCTTTTGAGTTGTTATTCCAGATGAAATCATCAGATAATAGAAAATAGGAATAGTTGAAAATGCTGAATTTCAGGGTTCAAAATCGGGAATCTCCATCCAAAATAGGGAGAGTTCGCCAGTATGGATTTGTAGAATATGATATGTTTCTTCATCATTACATTCATATTGTTAAAATATGTAAAAAAAATAATAATAATACAAAGTTGCTACATGTATGACATGACATCAAAAGAAATGGCCCGGGCGGTTCAAATACTTCTATCCAGCAGTACCGGGCTCTCATGTGCTGCCTCGGGTACTACTGGGCTCTAATTAGTTTAACTATGACACTAGAGAGTTCCGCTTCTGAAAGTTCTGGCCACCTCATAAATGGAAATATTCCAATGAGAATCGCCGTATGTTAAGTCTAAAGAAATCATTGAATGGTTAAGATTGTAACCACTTTAAACCTAAGGATCATCACATCATGTTGGATTATTCACTTCCGGTATAATTTACGTGCACGTAAACCCGTACGTAAATGTGAAAAGTTACGTACGGTTTCGTGAAACCCCCCCTACGTAACTTACGTGCACTTAGTTACGTGCACGTAAATATTTAAGGGTACCCGTAACTTTACGTACGCGTCGTGAAACGGCACCCTGGAGTGTACCACTCAATAGTAACGCAGGAAGTGTTACACTTGATTTTACACATAAAGTGTGCTCAGGCTGCCATCTTATCACGATATAAATAATTGTAACATCAAGGTCAAATGATTATCCGTGAGCCGTTTACAAAGATGAATAGGTTGTAGAGCAAGGAACCCTGGGAGAGATTGTCGCTACCTTACTGTTTACTACTTTTACTACATAACGCCTATACAACGTTAAGAGTATTTTACAGCAGATTGACTAAACAATTTTAAGTGGCCAAACACGTAACTACTGCTATGAAAAATAATTGCATGTTTCAGGAAAGTATCAGATGACACATTAGTAATACAATTAAAGAGAAGAATTAAAAGTTGAATGATAATAGTACATAAGCTTTTCTTACAAGTGACGAACCTTACGAGAAAGATGTTTGTTTTATTTGAAGGACTACACAATGAACATGTTCATACAACAAGAGTGGTACGACCCCCGACTACAGTTTTTCGGCCTAATTGATTCCACCTATCTAGAACTCGACTCGAAACTCATCAACGATGTATGGGTCCCCGATCTCTACTTCACCAACGAGAAGAAAGCTTCCTTTCACGAAGTCACTGTGCCTAACCGGATGATGCACCTTTATGAGGACGGTCGTATTATCTATAGGTTACGGTAGGTAGACAGATGTGGTGTTTATCAGTTACGACAGGTTCGAGCATAAATAACTACCGGCCCGGTAAGCTCGCGGACGTATTATATACCGGCCTGGTGGTCTGGTAGGCCCGCGGACGTATTATATACCGGCCCGGTAAGCTCGCGGACGTATTATATACCGGCCCGGTACGCTCGCGGACGTATTATATACCGGCCTGGTGGTCTGGTAGGACCCCGGACGTATTATATACCGGCCCGGTACGCTCGCGGACGTATTATATACCGACCTGGTAGCCTGGTAGGCCCGCGGACGTATTTTATACCGGCCTGCTGGCCTGGTAGGCCCGCGGACGTATTTAGTATATACCGGCCCGGTAGGCTCGCGGACGTATTATATACCGGCCTGGTGGTCTGATAGGCCCGCGGACGTATTATATACCGGCCCGGTAAGCTCGCGGACGTATTATATACCGGCCTGGTGGCCTGGTAGGCCCGCGGACGTATTTAGTATATACCGGCCTGGTAGGCCCGTGGACGTATTTAGACCCGCGGATGTATTGTATACCGGCCTGGTAGGACCGCGGAAGTATTTAGTATATACCGGCCTGGTAGGCCCGCAGACGTATTATGTACGGGCCTGGAAGGCCCGTGGACGTATTATATACCGGGCGTGTGGGCCCGCGGACGTATTATATACCGGCCTGGTAACCGGCTGCGTACGGAGATTGAGGCTGGATTAATGGCCGGTAATTTTGGATAAGAGGACGGGTAATTTGAGACAGGGTTATTGACCGGGTAAAGTTGGTTTGAGGATGGGTTGTTGGCCGGTTATGGTAGGTTTGAGGATGGGTTGTTGGCGCCGGTTATGGTAGGTTTGACGATGGGTTATTGGATGGTTTTGGTAGGTTTAAAGATGGATTATTGGATGGTTATGGTAGGGTCGAGGATGTGTTATAGGACGGTTGTGGTAGGATTGAGGCTGGATTATTGGCCGGTTATGGTAGGTTTAAGCATGGGTTATTGGAAGGTTATGATAGGTTCGAAGATGGGTTATTGACAGGTTGTGGTAGGTTTAAGGGCGCATTGGTCGAGTGGTTAACACTCCGGCCTTCCAAGCAGGCGGCCGGGGTTCGATTTCCGAAGTCGCCGTAGGCATGGAATATTAGAGAAAGTGTTTTTCTCCTGCCAACACAACTCCAACAACCTAAGTGGAGTATAAAATGATCTGGGTTGGGTGGTGCGGTATCTGTTGCTGTAGCATTCAAGTGAGGTAGCATTATAAATGATACTGTTGGAAGCACGGTCCCACTACAAACAGAGCACAAAACATATCGAGCACACACACAGGCATACACACATAGGGAGTTATTAGCCAGGTGGCATAGGACTAGTAGTTAGCGCCTGATAAGGCAGCTCCTGCGAATTCCTCAAATGTATTGATCAATATATATATGCTTAATGTATTGACTGTATACAAATTGTATAGCTATGTACTGTGAAGCGCTTTAGAGTGGATTATGTTAGCTAGATAGGGCGCTATATCAAATGTTGTATATTTATTTATTTAAGGATGGGTTGTTGACCGGTTTAGGTAGGTTTGAGGATGGGTTATTGGACGGTTATGGTAGCTTCGAGGATGAGTTATACGACGGTTATGGTAGGTTTGAGGATGGCATGGGTTGCTGACCGGTTATGGTAGGTTTGAGGATTGGTTATACGACGGTTGTGGTAGGTTTGAGGATGGGTTTCTGACCGGTTATAGTAGGTTTGAGGATGGGTTGCTCACCGGGTTAGTAGGTTTGAGGATGGGTTGTTGACAGTTTATGGTCGGTTTAAGGATGGGTTATTGAACGGTTATGGTATGGTCGAGGATTGGTTATAGGACGGTTGTTGCAGGTTTGAGGATGGGTTATTGAGGTTATGGTAGGTTTGAGGATTGGTAATGACCGGTTATGGTAGGTTTGAGGATGGGTTATTGACAGGTTATGGTAGGTTTGAGGATGGGTGATTGGCCGGTTATGGTAGGTTTCAGGATGGGTAATTGACTGGTTATGGTAGGTTTCAGGATGGGTTATTGACCGGTTATGGTAGGTTTGAGGATGGGTTATTGAACGGTTATGGTAGGTTTGAGGATGGGTTATTGACCTGCTATGGTAGGTTTCAGGATGAGTTATTGACCGGTTATGGTAGGTTTGAGGATGGGTTATTGGCGCCGGTTATGGTAGGTTTGAGGATGGGTTATTGACCGGTTATGGTAGGTTTCAGGATGAGTTATTGACCGGTTATGGTAGGTTTTAGGATGGGTTATTGGCTGGGTACATTTGTATTTTCTACTTGAATTTTTTGTCCATAATTGGACTGCAACTCTATGACCTGAAGCTACATTTGAATACTTTGACGACGAACTCCTACCATATACAGTTTATAAGTGCATTTAACATTGGAATGCTATCTCATTTACATCCTCTTCTATTTTTGTATTCATATTCACTCAACAGGACCTTAAATACAAAGGAAAATATCTAAACGTGATCTTACCAGCACATAATGCTGTCTTTTATTTACATTCTACAGGTACTGTTTGTTCTTACTTCCAAAATCACCTACATTTGACAAAATGTAGACAAAAACATGCATATTATCGAAAAGTTGGATTTTGAACCCTACACCAAGCGCTGAAGGCATTAATGTTTTATCATGTGTTGTTCCTCCACAGCGTGTCTGTGACGGCTGCTTGTCCCATGAAGCTGCACCGCTATCCGTTTGACTCCCAACTCTGTTACCTCTATATCCAAAGCTGTGAGTATCTTATGTCACGTCTCTTCATTCATAAAACGATGTTGATACATTTTATTAAAGAATATTAATCGCTGATAAGTCGATGTATCTAAATAGCATAACAACACTAGTCTTCGTAGAAAATCCTTTTCGAGGATAACAAAGAAACTTCCAATGACGCCTGAAGTCTTAAAATGGGAACATATAATAAAGATATAACCTTAAATATGTAATCTAACATATTTTCTGTAACTTTTGTCAGACGAAAATGACCTGTAGCATTGACTTCTCCGTGGAATAAAACATATCGGGCGATTGCATTTATGTTTAGGTATGGGGCCGCGGTGGCAAGTGGTGAAGGCGTCTGACATTCTGCTACCACTAGCCATCCACCACTTGGGGGCAGTCGTCAGGTACTGGCCGTAGGTCGGTGTATTTTTTCCGGAAACTCCGGTTTTCCTCCACCACCAAAACTTGGCACGTCCTTAAATGACCATAGCTGTTAATAGGACATAAAACACAAACAAACCAATTTTTTTAAGTACGCCCACCTGTTTATTGTTTAGTGCATGTACATTACACGGGATGTTTTCATTGTTGCACGTGTCGACACAATGGGTGGTATTACATTGTACGTGTGTTACGTACTGAGGATGTTTTCATTGTTGCACGTGTCGACACAATCGGTGGTATTACATTGTACGTGTGTTACATACTGAGGATGTTTTCATTGTTGCACGTGTCGACACAATGGGTGGTATTACATTGTACATGTGTTGCATACTGAGGATGTTTTCATTGATGCACGTGTCGACACAATGGGTGGTATTACATTGTACATGTGTTACATACTGAGGATGGTTTCATTGTATTACTAAGTCCCTGTATGTAAGGCGTAAAAATTGTACCTGCTTCCCCCATCGCATGATCGTAAGAGGCGACTAAATTAGGGACCTTATCTTTTCTCTTCTTTCTAAACAACTTTCTTCTTCCTAATGTCTCCCTTGACAATGCCTCACTTTTGGCCTTTAGTTGAGCGTTCGCCCCTGTGAGGAAGGCTTTGGTTCTGTCCCCTGGCCGAGACATACCATTAGTCTCTACTCCTGCTTAACGCTCAGCAATTTAGGAGTGGGATGACTGGTTCGCCCGTTGTCTTTATAATGTGACCGGGTGGGGTGTCCTGCTGGGTGTTTTCGGCAGTATGTTTCAGTGAGATAGCACTATAAAGTCGGCATCAGTTTTGCGCTATCACAAGGATACAAACACGAACATATCGCAACCTCCCAAAACACACACTCATACACTACACGCATGCATCTTGCATACAGGGGAGACCGTACTTAAATTACCATAGCTGTTGATAGGACGTTAAACAGTACCAAACTAAACCAAACATTGTACAGGTGTTACATACTGAGGACGTTTACGGTGATATAACTCGTAACATTATATCTAAGTAAGGTCATATGATCAATACAAATACCATCTGTTACTTCACGGTGAACGGATACCTCATATAAAGTCATATTCAATTACTAAAATTTGTAATTCACTGTCGATATGGTGACATTCAAATCTCCGCGAAAAGCGCATACGATAATGAAATGATACTATCTCTTCCACGCTAACCATAAATATAATATCTAGGCGCTGGGTAAACATATGTTACATCATACCCCAAGTTGTTACCGGATATTGCGGTTGGAATGCTGTTATTCTTGAAGCTATTAACAGGTAAAATATAGGATTTGCGGATATAGCAAGTTTGCGGTTCACCTTTACCGGGCTATTTTCCCAAGCTTTGTCTTCGGAAATTAACTTAGTCTCCAAAGAAACAGAATCCTTATATATATACGTGTACATACTAGTTAACTTTATACAAATACATTTTCAAATACCTTTAAAAATAAGGCTTTCCAAGGATCTGCTCTCGTGAGGTTTAAGTCACGTTCATATCTTGTCTTAATTTAATGTAACAGGATTTCTTTAAATTTAACAAATTATTATCATTTTTTAAAGCAAAAATCCTTCTGAAAAATGTGTAAAGAAACTAGCAACCCATTGTTTTCAGAACTTATTTTTTCAATTTAAAAAGATGATCAATTTGGGGGTCACGAACGTCACAATCCCACCCGTTTAAGACACTTGATTAATCACTACAATTGTATTTGCTTCGCAATTTTCAATTGAAGAAAGATGAGTTTTGCGGTACAAGTTTATTATGTTCAAAATATGAAACTATTATGTAGCAAAGTGGGAAATTATACAATATTGGCATTTTTATACTTTTTATATCACCTGTAGTCTATTTGATCTTTGATTCTGCAAAAGTTGAAATATAACACTTAAGTGTCAAAGACGAGAAACTTATTTTCTTTCAATCCAGTAAATATTAAGAAAGTTAATCACCAGAACTGTTTATATCAATCGTTAAATCAGCAAAAACTGACGAAAAAGTGAGGATTCTTTACTTAAAAATCAGAGGTAGGGGTAACTTGAACTGCTTTTCGTAGATCAAAACATAACTTGAAGACTTTTTTACTTCCATAATTTAGAAGAAAATGCTATTTTTATTATTTGTGCTAACATTCATAGTTATCTAATAACATATTTGGAAGATATTGATAAATTTCACTAAAATCAAGTAAAATTCATATGTTTTACCGATCTTAGCAAAACACGATCTCACGAACATATTATTTTCTTTGTTTTGTTTTTATTCTTATCTTATTCTCTTTAAAATAAAAAATGAAAAAATTACACAGTAGAAAATATTATTGAAGTTTCACAAGAGCAGATTTATGTGTCTTTTGCATAAGAGACGTGAAAAATAAACTTGCCAAGACAAATAGCAATTTTGAGTGAGAAAATAAGTTATGATTGAGAAAAAATCTAGTTATCCTTGTGTTGATAAATAAGTTGACCATGCATTTATCTTCCACAGTTGCCTACACGATGAATCGACTGAGATTTAAATGGCGAGATAGTGACCCGGTAAGGACTAATGCCAATCTGGAGTTGCCACAGTTCGATCTGGACAATTATGAAACCTCGGACTGCACGGGGTATGGGACGGACGATCTGGCAGGTACTCTTAACAATCACACATACCCGTGTATAACACCTGGCGATCATACTGACTAAAATAACTTTGAACCTAAATATCCACATGGACTTATCATTTAAATCTCATTTTTATATATAAATCACTGTGATTAAATGCGTTCCATGTAATTTAATCCGGCCTGGATGGCGTGTATATACGTTTGATATACAATTACCTTAAGTGCATATTCATTTGTATCTATTTTCAACAGCTACATGTTCTCTGTATATAACTTCAAAACCTAACGATGTAAAGTGAAATTTGCAGTCGCATTTATAAACATTTACAGAAAAATGAACATAAATTGATTTGCGTGGCCAAAGTTGTGCATTCGTAACGTAATAATATTGATATGTGCCTTTCTGCTTTTCTGCGATTCCACACATTTTGCCGGACTCGTTTGATGTCCATTTCCATTGTTTTGGCCTTTATATCACCTAATATACAATTATGGGCTTTTGTGCTGGTAAATATTATGTGATATGAACCTGAAAGAGGGATATTTACCTCGGCTTCGCCTCCGTTAATATTACTCTTTCAAGTTTATATCACATCATATTTAACAGCACAAAAGCCCATAACTGTTTTCTTATATGCTTCAACAATAAAATAAAACAAAACAAAACTAAAGGTTCTGATTATTGTACGCGAGCATCCGTGTAAAATTTAGCCAGGTTTGAATACAACAGTTCATCATTGTAGCTTTCGAAGGCATCGTCTAGATTCTTTTTCTTAAGGTAAGCATGGGGACGTGCACTGCTTGTTCAATTGCCTTTTTTTACGTTAACAGCATCTTTATCCTCGAATAGTTATGGTAATTTTCCTAACGGAGGAGAAACGTTCGCCAGCAGTCGTCTGACAGATCGCGTTCCAGTCTAACTGCGCATGCGCTACGACAGGTTCCGGGGAATTTCCATACAGGCTATATTTAGAAATCGATATTCACCGGATAACCAGTCTACATGAGTTTTTGAGGACTGATCACGTGTATAGGATCCGAACAATGTGATTGCGAGAAATGTTCATGCATATAATAACACTCTTTAATGGCGCTAGGGTGAAGTAAATATTGATTTTTGCCTGCTTTCTGCATTCACAAACCAATATTTTAGGTACAGTTTTGAACCTATTTATATTGACTATTTCACAGTTAATATATTTCCAGTAATTACACTCTTTAATACAATCGACCTTCCTTTATCGATTTTGAGATGCGATTTTGTGCTTGCGTGTTGGGCAACCTGCCGGGGTGGGATTGTATTGCATGTCTTACAATTCTAGACATCCAAAGAAACANCCCACCCCCCTCATCATTAGTGTCGTCTTAGTTAGTTAGTTTATTACTTAACGGCCCAGCAACGGTGATAGGCCGTTTAGCAATATACTAACTGACTGATCAAGACGATCAAATACTTATACTCGTCCAATGACTGCTAAGTCATCCAGACTATCCTACTGATATTGTAGTTAGTGTATGATCCAAAATCTATCAGTTTAACGACGTTATCCTGTATACTTTTCTACTAAAATAAATTGTGGATCGAAACCGGTACTAAATAGTACGCGTTTGATTTCAGCCAACTTCACATGCATCCAACTAAAACTACACCTAACCCGAAGTCTGGGGTTCTACATGATTCAAGTATACGTACCCACCATTTTGATCGTGCTGCTATCCTGGGTGTCATTCTGGCTCAGTATTGACGCAGTGCCGGCTCGAATTTCTCTGGGGATTCTCACAGTGCTTACCATCACCACGCAGAGGACCAACTCAGTCTCGTCGATGCCCCCTGTGTCCTACGTTAAGGCGCTGGACGTGTGGATGGCAATGTGTCTGCTGTTTGTATTTGCCGCGCTTTTAGAGTACCCGGTTGTATACGTCATGGAAAGGAGAGACGTCAAGTTACTTCAGACGAAAGTTGCAGTAGAAGAGGAAAAAGCATTAGTAAGTGAAGTTTTCTTTAGATATGTACTGTGTAAGGTGAAGAACAGTGTATGGATAAATTTCAGTAGTCTCTGTTTCGAAATGCGAGTTGCGTTTTAATCTACAGGGAACACTCTTTGGTGATATATTACTTCCTGTCTATTTGACCTATTGTTTGAATAGCTCCTCGGCGATTTCTCATATATATATAAACAGACTTTCACTATTCCGTCTTTGCGTATTGCAGAGTTATCTTCTCTTGGGAGCAGGTATTGATTGTTACGTCACTTGTTTGTGAGAATAACGTCATCAGTTTTTGAGAAAACGACGTAATTTTCTCACACAGACCAATGACGTAACAATCAACAGACTTTCAATATACTCGCGTTAATATGATTTTGAAGGCCGGCTTTGCACTGGAAAACATATACAAAAATTATAAAATACTCGTTTAAACACTTAAAGAAAACTCCATCAACGACTAGAAAACATCTCCAGTCTGACGTCTTCAGTGAGGGGGACATGCCATTTGGACGTTGGTGTCTCAGTGCGATACTTTTTCTATTTAATCTCAATTTAGAATGTTTGAGTATGTCTGGAACGACAGATATGCGATGAATATCAAATCTGGTAGTGATCGTATTAGTGTGTATCGTGACAGGCAATACGAGATGGCAACCGGCAATAAAGCTTTCCTTGTGACGTCATAATCAAATAATCTAACAAGGTTTCGCATAAAGTTTCTTGCAGATTGTGGACATTGAATTATAATTGCATGACCCCATGTGAGATTGCTCTGGTCCAAAGAATCACCATTGGACAAATAGGACCCAGTTGGCCCAGTATTGTATACACAGTGGGGAGGGACCCCTTAGTGAGGAGTATGACAGGCCCATATAGTGGAGATAATCGTCTTGTTTTACCTGATGTTTCAGTATTTTTTGTGCTATTGCTTCCTTGTTGGTATGTAGCATTTCTAACGTATTGCAAAAGGAGCAGGTCACGCTGAAAATTGGACAAATATTTTTTCTAATGTAATATATGACGGCGGTGTACTATCTCAAAGCATCGATCACATTCACATTGTTCCCGACGTTTGGAAATAAATGGATGGCGGTTTAAAATGGAGTGCAGCAGGAAGGTAATCGGACGAATTCTATATAATCCACAACCCATAAAACAGCAGAGGCATCTGAATCTGTAAGAACTGCAGCTGTGATGAATTATAGAAATAGATGTCCCAATAAAATGGAGATAATTGTTTTTGTAGTGGTTTTCCGAGTAAACCATTACTGTGTTGTAAGGATAAGAAGAGTAATTCGTCTTCAAATCATACAGATTGATGATACACAACGGTGCGTGGGACGGATATCAGAAGGACCACATTTACACAGTCAATCGATATAACAGGAATTTGGCCATACTCAGAAGTTCCGTATCCTTGAAACTGACATTCATTACAAATCACATGGAATGGTTTATCAACAAGTAGGAAAATCATCCCTTCATCAAATGACATTGATATATTCCAGAGACAATTTGTCTCGGTTTTAACAACATTTAGTAAGCAAAAAATAAAATAACATTTAACATTTTGATGTTTATTTGTAATCGCCATTGTTGAAATGTTTTTTAATTAGTAAAACGAATGCCCTGTTCATCGTCGCATGCATTAACAAAGAGTAATAACACGGTGAAAGGTAATGGCCTAAAATTAACTTACAGAAGTTACATTCACTTATGTTTCATAGGAACTTTTAGTGTTTAAATATGCTAAAACCATAATTGGCAATCAGATCAATACAGTTCATTTTTGTAATATATTGTTAATTTCTTTTCAACAAGGTTCATAGATACCCCTATCCCACAACTTTTTATAAGAACGATTTAGTAGGAGAGTAGGAGAATATGAAACATTTCTTGACTATGATGTACATGTATACCTAATATTCATCTGCGAGCTTAGGTATGAAAGACCTTGAAGCCAGTATACCGGTAACTAAGGTCAAGGTCAGAGGTCAGCTTGCATTCCAAGTTTGATATGTTTACACGAAACAGTGGAAGAGATCTTATCCATAAACCTATAATTTTCATCTAAAGTCGAACGTCAAAGCTCAAAGAGGATAAAAATTATCATTTTTGACGCTCGACACAGAACCTTATATTGTATGCTTAAAAAGAAAAAAAGATATTTCTGCATGAAAGATCAGTGCCGACATCAAAAGATTGCGGAGCTGCCTATGACCTTTACTTTGGTATTCGACACAGGGTCATCTTATGATGTAATAGGTATCAAGTATGATGTATGTACATGCACATGAAAAAATGGTCGACACATGCTTCGGGAACATATATTTTTATGCATCCGAGATCACAGGTCAAAAGGTCTAAAGTAAAAAACAAACACTTTATTTGATATACAGAGCAAGGCCTTCTTTTGATATGTCTATACAAAGTCTGAAGAGGGAATATGTATCAGTGGTCACGACTTGCTCTATAAGGCCTCAGTAAAACATTCAGGATTTTTACTGCCGTCCTTGATAGGACCACTCCCGATTTAAATGTGTCAAAAGTCTGATCAAGATTCCGTGTTCGTGGCCGGAAATTCCCAAATTTGTGAAAACATTTATCTAATCACGACAACAATCAGATATTGTTCAGGAAGCGTCCCGATTCAGCCATTTCCAGCCGAATTCGTCCCGATTCTCCCGTTCTCAATCCGAATGTGATCCGATTTGTATCCTCCGCATGGTAAAAAACGACAGAATCTGTCCCGACAGCGTCCCGATTCTCCCGAACGCGATCTGACAGAGATCAGACAGTGACATGACAGTGAACCGACGCATTCGGCAAGATCTTGACGCAATCTGGACTTAATCGGTTAGAAATGGCAAGGAAAAACTTCTGCAAATCTTGCCAGTTCATCACGACAGCGTCCCGCTCCAAACGACACTGTCAAGACACCGTCCACACAACACAGGATATTGATACGATTTTGATCCGATACAGCAGAATCTGTCACGTCATAATCACGATTGTAATCCGACTAGACAAAATCGGCTGAGTTTCCCGAATGTTACGGGACGCACCTAACTGTCGGGAGTGCTTGGTCGACCTCTCTTGACCATTCCCGATCCGTAGGACTCTGTTACGAACGGGCCCCGATATATTCGGATTTTGCCATCCTTAATTTGTTCAAAGATGTCCTATTATATTACATGCGCAAAAACTGAGGTACAAGTTTGACCGAAAGTGAGTTTTTGGGGGTACCAAAAGGGGTATGGTAAATCACAAATATTTTTTTGGTGTTTTCATTTCTATTTTTGAAAACATGTGTAAACTAAACAGGCATATATAAAAGAATGAAAATAACCGAAATTCAATAGTCACTTAAAGATCGTTTATATAAAACGGAGGTATTAAGTCAGGGGGTTGTTTTAGGTAATTTTCAAGTGAAAAGTGTTTTGTATTCTGAATAATTTCCTTTCTAATCTATAGTTTGAAGTTGAAATTTACAACTTTACTCATTTGAGTACACTTACATAAAATGCATATTCACTACACACTTTCCTTTTGTTTTATACTGAGTTATGGCTTCTGGACACATCTCAAACTTGGCAATTTCAAATACCTCTCTATCTTAAGTGAATTAAAAGGTGCAGGACGACCTTTATATGCTATAAGTATATGCTAGTAATTGTATATAGTATTGTATATCATATATATCATTTAATATGTGTTCTAATGAGAAGATAGGATATTTCATTAAAAGCTAACATTGATTTTAAACTACTGTAATTACAGGAATATCCTAGTGAAATATTGTAACGCGTTAAAAATGGTTTCTTATTTAATGAGAGGAACAGCTAAAGTTGTGGAAGTTATTGGTCATGTTTCGTTTTGTACTAGCTTAAATGATATTTTTAATTACTTTCTGTTTTTCTGACACAGTTTTAAAAAATCTCAATACACGTTCTTAAAAGCAATTTGTCCTCAGTAAATATAAATTGTCTACTTTAAGTTATATTTATAAAGCAGCTAATATAATGTGTTTGTCTTAATGTAAATCCATTTTCCTATCGTTTTGTTTTGCAGAATCCAGCAAAGACACAACATACGAGAAATCGTATGGAACGAAACCGGGCCCAACGAATTGACAACATCTCTAAAATCATGTTTCCGCTTGTGTTCTCTTCGTTCCTAGCGATCTACTGGTTTGCATATACTTTATAATGGAAGGCTTCAAAAGGTTATTTCGGTTTAAAAAAAACTTCATTTAATGTGTTTTAGGGGAGCTTTTTACAGCAGAAAACGGACTGAGTGTATGAGGTTGCGATACCGTGACTAAATAATGAAAATAAATTTTAGATTTCCCTCTAAGATTATAGTCAGATTCATGTCGTTATGTTGCATAGTTTAAAACTATTTTCAACAATTTGTTTCCGACATTCTTCAATAGCAATGAAAGGTGTTATCAAACTACAAATGATATGTTTCTTTGAAGTTCATTGTAAGATCCATTAATTTATGTAATTTTAATACATACCTGTTGAATCTTGTCATAGTAATACAAGCAATTTTCAGACCATGAAGTACAACGTTCTGTATTGCACATGTGCAATACGGAATGTTGTATTTACCTACTAGCCGGAACTACTTTGTATGGGAATCCCCTTGTCATGGCGAACTGAAAAGTTCCCGGTATTTGCAAAAAAACATCAAAGTTTATAAAATCTTTGTATCGATCTCTACCAAATACGATAGGTATTTGATAAAAGCAAGACTACACACTTGTGTTTTTCTAACGAATCAGAAAGCACTCATGTATTGCGCGGATGTATATATTCGTCCGCCCAATAAACTCGTGCTTTCTGATTCGTTAGAAAAACACAAGTGTGTGGTCTTGCATATGTAATGTAAAACCGCTTAAATATGGTTCCACAATTGTTTATTTAATTCTTAGTTTCGCCAACATTTTAATCCCAAATAAGCAATGCTGTTGTCATTTTAAATTGGATGACAATAGCATTGTTTATTTGGTTGTAAATGCACGATCGGTTTTCATCGGTAAATAATGTGACAATATACAACTCAGGAAACTGAATTGTCATTTTACCATTTAAATTTACAATTTTACTCCAAGATTCGATATAAAAGCTGCCCCAAGAAATTGTTTTAATTTACATGAAATTAGAGCGCAGGCGAATTAGTGCCATTTTAACGCTTCTCCACGCTCCTCGCCTCGCATGAGACTATCTTAAGAAAACAAACATGTTGATGATGCTGGGCTGTTCTAAGAATGTCCCTTGCTTTGACAATACAGATATATAAATACCGTAATATTTAGGTGAATGATTATTTTTATAAATAATACTATCAATTCTGGATTAAATGAAGTTGATATTCATGCTGCTTTGAGCATATATCGGTGGCATTAATATTTAACAGAAAGCCATAGTGACGTGACTCGTCCAATCCTATATAAATGTGATTGTCAATGTATCTCTATAAATAAATTATAAAAGTATCGTCTATCTCAGCAACAGATAAAGTGCTGTGGTTCCTCATTCTGAAGTACAATTTCGCGGTCAGTTGCAGTATATTGCTTTATATTTGTCGCGATTTTGTCTGGTCAATTAAATGCAAATGTCCTCTATAAAAGGTAACCGTGGAACCGATATATAACAATAAGTACAGTGATACAACCAAATAAGGAGATATAAAACTAACGCTTTCAGTGTGTCGACAATTATTAGGAAATTTGTGTTTTTGTCTGAAACTCCATAACATCAAATACATATCGAAAGTTCAGGTATTTCGTATGTATCAATATTTTCTTTCGGATTTTGTAGATGTCTCTACAATCTAAAGAGCCGATAGAGCATGGTTTATACATTTAAACCTCATCTTTCTGATGTCGACATATAAATCTCACATTTCTGATGTCAACATAAAAATCCCACCTTTCTGAGGTAAGCTTACACAAACTCTTAGGCAAACCTTGGTAGCTCTGTTAGGGGACCAATAATTATAACTGAGATAATAGGTTTGTCACTATACGCGAGTTAATTAGAACCTCTCTAAGGCTGTTGTAATACGTCACCAGTAACTTATGTCGTGTAAAATATAAATTAGATACGGGAGAAAAAATTATTTAATTTTGAAGTTGCGACACCAATGGGTGTCATACAGTTTCATGCTTGCTAGGTACATTTAATAGTACATAAATGGCCGACATGCCTCATTAAAAATTAGGCAGTGAATGAAGACAATTGCACTTTTAATGGATAATGGATTTACGCCATGCACGAAATAAATGTCAAGACAAGAAATGGCCTCTGGTGTATAACAAATAGGCCTACCCTCACTCGACATGATGTATTGCTGACCTATCTCAAAGTTTTTTAGTGTTCCCATACGTTTTCTACACTTTTTTTTACATTTAACATAAATTTCCCTGATATTCTTTAGGGAAGGACATATAAATCGAAGTAGGAGATAGTACGTTTGGGTCACAATGAGCTTTCGGCAGGAAAGATCAGGATACAAAAATGGGTTACTGTTGCTGATAGCAATTGTTTTCGAACACACTATTGAAAGTATGAGAAAAAAAAGAATCATCCCCTACAGACGGAAGCAAGCCTCGGAATAAACAAACAAGATGATCTCGTTCTTGTTCAAGCACCCTAAATGGGGGAGGATTTTTAAAGCATTTGATCATATGGTTGCGTCCCGTTTTATAAATACGCTGTTGCTGTATTGATATGAATTTTGTAGTTTATCTGAATTAAATGTCGACCAGTAGTTGACTGTGATTGGAGTACGCGCTCTAACAAATAGATCAATTTGTCCCTTTAGATAACGTGTGGTGTAAAGACAAGAAATATCACACAAATTTAGTACACCGGATATGCGTGCATTTATTCATACATTGTTATCAGCTTGAAGAATGAAAAGCATACCAAAGATATGTCAGATACATATCGAACAAGTGAAAACATAATGAGATATGGAACGGTGCTGAAACATTATTATTATGATTTAGAATCATTGTATTGTTATAAAACGATATTTTATAAGCAATAACTACTTCACTGAATCGGATATGCATGTTTAATAATAAAATACACTATATACTTTTAAAACATCATAACTATATTAATAAACATGCAAATCCGGTGTAGTGAATATTTAAAAACAAATCGAGTTCTTATGATGGGAAATCTAAAGAAAACGAACAAAGAGATTTATATCAGATCCCTATCGCTTTCATCACGTCAGAAGTTCGTCACGCGCTTTTTATGGTTAAATACATAGATAGCATATGTTTCATTTAAAAAAAAAATGATAAAACGTTTCTGTATTTCTGTACATTTGCTCAGTGATTGTTGTAAATTCATGTAAGTATCCTTGTACCACTGCTGAAAACTCGGACTATGCGATGGAAACTTAATCCAGAATAACTGTAGCTTTGATAAATCGACAAAAATAGTGCTCTCTGAGTATGTCATTGTAACGGGACCAGACCAGAGTTCGAACCCTTACCCACTGCACTATTATTCTAGCCCTATCACACAACAGGTACAGTGTATATCTAAAACTAAGGCCATGTTACTTTGTATGTACGAGAAACTACAGTACAATTTCTAAGAGTTCTGCTTGCAGTGGAACAATGATCCTTCAGTATTTTTGTCGTACATTCATGTCAATAATTTGTTCAACAGTTTTAAATGTTTTTTTTTTTATCTATTTCAACTATATCATTTAGCCCTTTATAATAAAAGGAATAAGATAGATTCTTTGTTTGGTTTTATGTTTGAAGATACAACTCTTTATATCATAATTATGATAATCACATCGATTGCGTGTCGTTTTATGATTTACAGGTTTACAGGTGTATGGTTTGAAAATAGTACCCAAATGCATCTAAATATATCTTATTTAACGTCATTTTTATTACAAAAAAATGATATGTAAAACAAAAATCATGAGTATATACTCGATTTATGAACGGTCATCATGGATTTAAGGTTTAATAGAAAACAACAGAATGTTAGCACACAAGGAAAAAATTGGATTATTTCACACAAAAAAGGCCACAAGAAGAACAGAAAATACATCAGAAAAAGGAAAAAGAAATTACTTAAATTTCAACATAATCGTAATTCGAATTAAAAATCAATAAAACCATGACCAAGTATGAACTAGAGAAAGGTTGACCTGAACAGGAAATGTTTCGGAAGGGTAACTGTGTTAAGCCGCATCAATTAAAACCAACCAATCAAATTTATGTCAAATTCTAGTAATGCCATGTCCTCAAAGGGAGAACCAGGGTAATGACAACGAAACAGCAAGGCACACAAAGAAAACACATATTTCTCAGTGGGATCCTTAAGTCGATCTACAATATTTAGTGTTAGTTTGTCTGTCAACATTCGACATATATCAAGGGATTCATGATGTTCGGAGCAAGCTTTTTGATACTGTATCAACTGCGACATGTAAACACTTTAGGGTGGGAAAGCAAGAATGTTACTACCAAGAAAGAGACAGTTCCGATTGGAACACAGAATGTTACTACCAAGAAAGGGACAGTTCCGATCGGAACACAGAATGTTACTACCAAGAAAGAGACTGTTCCGATTGGAACATAGAATGTTACTACCAAGAAAGGGACAGTTCCGATCGGAACACATAATGTTACTACCAAGAAAGGGACAGTTCCCATCGGAACACAGAATGTTACTACCAAGGAAGAGACTGTTCCGATTGGAACATAGAATGTTACTACCAAGAAGGGGACAGTTCCGATCGGAACACAGAATGTTACTACCAAGAAAGGGACAGTTCCGATTAGAATACAGAATGTTACTACCAAGAAAGGGACAGTTCCGATTGGAACATAGAATGTTACTACCAAGAAAGGGACAGTTTCGATCGGAACACAGAATGTTACTACCAAGAAAGGGACAGTTCCGATCGGAACATAGAATGTTACTACCAAGAAAGGGACAGTTCCGATTGGAACACAGAATGTTACTTTTACGAAGAAAGGGACAGTTCCGATTGGAACACAGAATGTTACTACCAAGAAAAGGACAATTCCGATTGGAACACAGAATAGGCAGCACGAACCCGATTAAAACTGGAGGTGAAAACAGGTCCTCCGGGTCGACACATGAGGTACCCATCATTATGTATATTGTAAATGTAGAAACGTCTGTTAGTCATCATGGATCTAAGAAACGGTGATCATGTCTCAGCACATGGCAGGCGCTGAAACCATTTAAAAATGGAAATGACAACGACTAATGTTTTGAGAAGGTTCCATAAGGTATTCGTCTACAGGACACACCTATCGAGATTAGCAACAGATACAGCTGAAATATTAGTAAAATGGAACAAATTACGAATATAAAATATGATTTCCAACACATAATAATAATATTTTTTCGCACCCATTAAATTAAAAGCGTGAATAAATAAACCATGACCTCATGTTCATGTATTACGGTGGAGTTGATCCTACATTTAGACTGACCAAACTTTCGCCTTTCTCTGAAATATTGACATTACTGTAATCGTCATCTAAATAAGCTGGAAGTGACGTCATGGATGACGCCTCTTTAACACTCTGAAACGTATCATATGATTTCAAATCTTTTTCAAGGCGATTGTAATCACTTTCATCTGTATACTCATCGTTTATATCTCTTTCCCATGAACGTGACATTGTGTCGTAGTTGCATTGGTCACTTTTATCTCCTTGACTGTGAGACAGAGATGTGTTTGAATGTTTTGTATTTTCTATTATGCATGTAACTTCTGTATATGGTCCTTCCGTGTGTTGTTCGTGATGTAGTTTGAGATGTATTTCATTGTAGGTTTCGTCTGGAAATGAAACACTGGTCACTGTAAACACCGGAGTGTCCTCGGCTTGAGGCATGTCCACATAGTCGTTAGAAAGGAAATTGTCGTCGATAGTCTCGTAGTCCTCTCGGGAACCTATTATCAAAGAGGTTTATGTTTTACTCTAGATATACGGTAATTACAAAAATAGAAATAAAACCATTGCGCCAATATAAAGGTATTGAATGATAGAAAAGAAAACAAATGGAACCAACAAAGAAAATGACGTGAATTGTCATAAAGAAGAATTAATATGGTCCGGATTGTTTTTTATTTGTTTATACTATATCAACTGTATCATTAACAGACCGATGCGTCATATACATTTATATCTAATCTATGAAAACGTATGTATATTTTCAATGGTAACATGATGCATACAATGGTTTTTTTTAAACAATGTATCCTTGGCGTCAATACATATATATAAATGTTTTTTGCACATTGCCCCTTAATGGGCCCTTGATATTGTCAGTAAAATATTGAATTTTGATTCTTATGACAAAGCTATGTCAATAATCGCCTGAGGCCGCATTTTCTCGATACGGTGCATTATGTCTATACCAAATTGGTTATTTTGGAAAGCGTCATAAACAAGATCTTTAACTAGGTATTACTAAATTGCATACATTAAGGTCAACTGCAGGTAGTTGACACTCCTTTTGAATGAAGAAGAAAAACTAAATGCTACGCTAGCTTGCAATCAACAAAATACACAGCAATTGTTTTAATGATATTTTCTTTTCTTCTAAATAATTTTTATTTACACTAAAAGACAAAACGAAATATCAAGACAAAGGTTTAGTCCAAAAGTCACACTGTATATATTAAACCAATATGCAATCGATCCTCAATTACCTTAGTATCACTGATCTGGTAACTGTGCTATCATGCTCGTGTTTTGGAACAAAATATATCTTTCGCAAGACAGCCACTGTGGCTGAGTTGACAGGATTGACCAGGATACACATTTAAGGTAACTGTTTCCGTCAAATACTGATTTATGTACATGTTGACTTATAATTAGGACATATCTTACAATTGCAACTGTTTTGAAAACTAGTATTTACCTCTTTGCGAACAATTCCTTTCAGACTGACGTTTTTTCAACCTGTGTCCAAACAAAAAAGGAAAGTTAAAATGTTCGTTATTAAAACAATTCATTAAAGATTATAAACAATAAAAAACATAGATGAACATACAATGTGAGAGTAATGTTTTAATGCAAATATTTCAATTGTCTTCAAATATCTAATATCGGAACGATGTTAACAGGTGCTGATATTTTCTAAATAAAGAAACGTTTTCAACAGTTAGATTGGTGATACCATTAAGCATACGTTATTAAACGGATTGTTATAGAGAGTTGGACGAAACAGACACATGGTCTCAAATGTTCAATAGTCTTCAAAATATACTTTACTATATATAATAGGAACTACGTTAAATTGGTATCAGTTACAATCAACTCTGCCTTGAAAATCCACGTAAATCGAAGTTAGACACAGAACTGATTCATTAGGACATGTTGATGATAGCAATAACCCTTTCACCCCTATGTAACTTTAGTAGTCTCTACCATGTATTGATCTGGAAGAGTCCATTATGGTCTACAGTGGTGAAAGGGTTAAGCATATGTTATAGAGTAAGCAGCTATAGACAGATGATATAGATAAATGGTCTCTGCAGTTATAGACACTTAACAACTGCAGACGAGTGGTATATATTGCATATATAATTTTATTTATAAACAGTTAAAATATAGACACCTGGTCTCTAAGGCATGTTCGTTTGTAGTTATAAACACTTAAACGCTATTTACAAAATGGTTTCTAAGGCATAATTAATTGTATTTCTAAACAGATTAAATATAGAAACAAGATCTCTTAACCATCATTGTTAAACAGTAGTTATAAACACTTTAAAGCTATTTACAAGATTATAGACACATGACACGATAAGGAAAATTTGCCGATGTTTTTAGGAATAAATTAAAAATCATCATTTAAATGAACAAAAACGAAATATCCCAATTCACAGGAAAAACTTAACTTATTTGGTAGCACCTAGCTGTCATAATGCATGATAATGATCAGGATAGAAACATAATATTAAAGAAAGTTCGCTAGTTATTTACTTATAAATTTGAATGTGATTTGAATACCTGCATCTGTAGATAAAAACTATATTCAGAATGATGATGATGAGTCCAAACCCTGCTGGGACAGCAATGATGACGTAGTATAAAACAGAAGAAACTTCTTTTGGAGGAGAGGTAGAATCTGTAACAGATAATTACTGTTGTGAACATGTACGGATACACTAGATTAGCGTCTGTGAGGATTAACTGACATATTCAATTCATAACCAATTAACAAAGTTAGGTAATAAATACTAAATTATATCATAATGCATGTAGATGCATTATTTATGGAATTCAAAATTTATGTATTTTCCAAATTAAACGGGGCCATTAGATACATTGGATATCGTATAACATTTTGTCCCGGATGTTAATTATTGGGAAACAGACAGAAAAAACACTACTATATCGTTAATACACAAGACCTTTAACCAAAAGATCCAGTAGATCAGTATATGTACTCGCCTGGTGTGTGCTCCATTACGCCTTTTGGCCCTTGAAAACACTGCCCGGTGTCTTTTTGACAATCCCCGCTGTATAGACAATCACAAGAGGACGAACAGTTGTGTCCATAGAAACCAACATCACACTCTGAAAGAACACAAAACGTCATTGTCTTTCTCAGCTGTTCGGCTCTTCTGAATGCCTCGTTAAACCAACAACGCAATGTCCTACGAAAGTGGTTATGTTGCTTAGAAAATAATGAAGAAAACGGTATTTGTTATTATTTAAACTTTGTTTGTTAGTTGTATTTTCACCTTTTTCATGGATAATTCCTTTACTACCTTATGTGTAATTAGCTATCTAAGATGCTTATAACTCGGTAAACGGTTTTATTTGCTCTCCGTTGTAATCCCATATGGCATTTATATCATTCCCTGTTGTTTACCAAAAATAAGTCATGCTTTTAATTTAGAGAATAAGAAAACTAATTAAAATTTGAAACAGTTTGTGATAATCCATGTTAAAGGAGCAAAAATTTCATATATGATAATTATTTCGTTTTAGTCATGTATTCAAAAGGTTTTAAGTTATATATATATATATATGTATTAAAAGCTTGCGAATATCGTTCTTTAATATTCTTACAACACAACACCGCTGGATATGTGAAAACGTTATGTTAACTTATCTTTTACTTTAACAGGTGCAACTGAAAATTGATAAATTAGACGTGAAAAACTTTCAGGAATATTTGCGATTATCGTCAAAAAGGGAATTCAAAAGCAGGATCAGATGACATAAAGGGACTATTGAACATTGCCTCCGTTTTACACTCTCACAAAATAGTACGATCATAATGAAATACGGACACACAAGGGAAAAATAAAATATAATGGATAATTGAAATGTATTTACAACCCGTATGTGTATCGTTATATTTTATCTCTTCATCACCGGATTGGCAATACGGGCATTACAATTGGGGGAGTTGTTTAGATATAGCCGTGCTACAGGTAGACAAGCCCGCTAGACGTTACACAAGAGGCCCATCAATGGTTTATAGCGGTGACATGGTACAAGGTGATTTACTCGTATAATCTCCTATAAAGATAAGTTTACAACAGATATTCATCACAAAAGTCAGAATTGTATGGCGAGTAATAACACGCCCAAATAGTTTTGTTATACTGTAAAATTACTTATTTTAGCGGACTCAGATTTTAGCGTATAAACGAATTTTAAATGATTAATGCATTGTTAAATTGGCGCACTAACAATAGATGCAATATAACATAATAAACACAGACTTCAATTAGCGAAATCAAGTGCAACATTTAAAGGGACAAAAATAACCCCGCTGAAATTAGAATACCGCTTAATATAAACATTTACAGTATACTATGTAATTCGGAGCAAGTTAAGACGGTGTTTTATTTGGCATTAGCCAATTGCAAGCTCTCTTCAATTCATTTTCGTTCTATTAATAAAACATGATGAATATATTAACATTATACATCACGAAAAGGAATTCGATATCCTAAATATGTCGTTTATGTCTTGACCATTTAATGGTGGACCTATGAACATGCTTTCCTCGATTTGCAATCTTTTGATATCGGGTGATCATCATACGAGATAGCAACATAAATGTTATTGTTTTTCTAAATAGTATGAAAGATTTCTGAGTTAAATTTATAATACCTTCATCACAATTTTGACCTATTAAGCCTGGCAGACATGAACACTGCCCAGTTTCTGAGTCGCATGTTGAATTTGCTGAACACCCGCAGTCGCGTTCACACCGCCAGCCGTAGTGGCCTTGCTCACATGCTGAAAATTCACAAAAGATTTCTTTTAAAATTTTCAATATTTGTTTCGAATTAATGATTTCAAAATAATAACAGACAGACATAAATTAAAAACTCATTGACCAATGTGTCACTCTAGTGTAACATGCATCAAATGATATTAAATGAAATATTTATTTATCTGATAACTATGTCGTTTTCGTTCATGTATCGATACGTGATTGACCTCAGTGTCTCTTTTTTTCTGTAAACATGATACTTACTTGTACTTTGATTGCTTACTTTAAAACTACATATATTTTTTATAACGTTCACTCTAAATAACCAATATTTCGCTAGTTGTTATTTTAATAGAAAAGGCTACGAAAAGACATTAATGTGAATCCTTAAGACCATATTCCTTTCGTCCAGAATTAGACATTTCCTCATTATGGATTAAACACTGATCTCAGGCTGATATTTCTTGACCACGTTCTCATGGCATTATAAAATTTGCTTTCGTTGACTTGTAGATGTTTATATTCATATGTCTCGTTTACCTGTATATGCATACGTTCAAATATGTCTCTGACCTTTACATTCACGGAATAGAACCGTTTGTGGGAGATTATCAGTAAATATCGAATAAAGGTATGTGCACTTTTCATGAACCCTCGAAGCTGTTCATGCAAATAGCGCCCCATCCCATTTGGTCATAAATAGACAACATGTTTTAAGGCATAATTACTGAATATCTATCTTTTTTGAGGACACACTCAAACGTGATGGTTAAAAAGTAGTTTCAGTATGTGATGTCACCTTTTTTGGTGTTGTAGGGAATTTAATGGTTATACAATATAACCTGAAAAGTGTACGATTGTGAGGAAAAGCCGAGCTTAAATCATATTTTCATGTGTGCCATTGACCTTCATTTCTTTCTCTCAATCTTGTATGTATATGATAGAACTGTCTAGCGAAAAACGGAGCTTGAGAAAATTCCATCCTACACTCTGTTTCATGCGTCTGGCGTTACAAATTCAACAATGACATGACGTCATGAAATCAAGAACATTCCGATGCCACGATGCGGAAACTGCGTCGTTTTCTCGTGGATTCTATGTTACTTATGGTGATTGGAATGAGAAAAGAAAATGTTCATGTCCATGGTTGTGGAAAAGGGATATTTCGCTTTAAGGATTTTTGAATTCATACAAAATCCTCTACTAGCCTGTAGTTTTATCCTATTTGATAATCCTTCGGATGAAATGAACGAGTTCATAATTTTTATCATTCACCTGTCGCATTGACAAAAATATAATGTCAACATTTATAAAAAAAAATATGAAACATGTACTGTACATATATGTATATTTCAGTATATCTTTGACGAGTAATTGTATGTTTTGTATTATAATTCTATACAAGGTGTAGGTAGCATGGTGTACATATACACATCACTCTCTTTCATTTTAATACATGCAGTCATAAAGCTGCGGATGGGGGTTGGCTGCATTTAGTAAGGCCAGGTGACATACAACTGTAATCCTGTTTTTGCCCCCCTCCTTTAATAGTCAAATAAAATGTTTTTATTTGGCATAATGCCTATATGTATTCAGGTCAGTATGTGCTATGTTTAGTATACATGTTTTTATTTTACGTTGATTTTGGAATAAACTACGTGACATGTTTTGTATACATGATTTTATTTTATCTCTTTTTTGCAATAAATGGCATATTTCAATTCATATTTCGGTATTACTGCTTTTTATTTGACTATTCAACTTTTGGGGAAGCTTGCTGTATGACTGGGTGCTGAAACGCACTTCATCAATATTACTACCGTTAAAATTGATGCATACCTCCAAGTGAGTCTTTGACATATATATCCACATGCGCATTGCACCCTATGTTTATCACCCTTACATACATGGCAACATATACACATCTTTTTGCAACGTATGCATACCTTCACATTTCCCGTTGATCTCATAGAAGCCTATGCAACAAGCCTGAACATGGCGGTTTACCATGTAACTGACGTTTTCGTGAGTTGAAACATTCATACTGAAATTTAAAGAAGTCAGTGAAGTTACAAAATATTCCTACGGAAAGTAAAACATCACGTCAATTATTAGCTAACAAAATCTTGCTAGTGAAATTCAAACAGCAAGTAAGTGAACTTATGAAATATTCGTACTGAAATTTAAACATCAAGTCAGTTAATTTATGGATGATACAGAATTAATTCATATTTGTTGAAAATATAATGTAGAATAATATCTACAAACTGTTTTGAATGATTTAAGAAGGTCGATATAACGGCCAAAGAACAATTGTTAGTCCTTACTGTTATCCTGGTAATATGACATAGGGTTTGAAAGCATTTCATTTCTTTTTGAATCAATCTCTTTATAAGTTCCCAAGAAAACTGTTTGGGAATAATAATATTTGAATGAGGCCAGTATTTACATTTGTTCAAGCAATCTCATTTTCATTTAGTGTTTTTATCTGTTATATTCAATAAGCATACTACAAACACATATCTTAAACCAACATGACATCATGAAATCAGAAAAATTAAATCCACATCTCTGAACTGTCTCTACCTAGGAGAGAACATATACACACGACCATCGTCTTGTTTCCAAGCCTTAGGTGTCTGTCATCGTCTTGTTAAATGTGTCTTAGATCACAGATGAACTACCCTTTTTCAGGATATGGAAGGAAATAATGAAGTGTATCAGAGGAGATATCACAAATGTTTACAGTAACTTTAATCTATTTATTGTTGTTTGGGTGGTGTTTTTTTTAACCTGTTAGCACTAACATCCTACATCTAAGCTCTATTTTACTTTTGTGACAATAGCCAGTCAGAGGCTGCATCGACTATGACTAGATGTATGTTTCTACATAATTATTTCTATTGTGTTGTTTAAATTGAAAGATAATAAGTATAAAATCATCTTAATATTTAAGAACGGCCAGGTTGATATTTACAATAGATAACATTGAATGTAGCTGTTTTGACAAAACAATTGTCAGTGCTGAAGGCGTAACCAAAAATACAAAACAATTGTCAGTGCTGAAGGCGTCACCAAACAAACAAAACAATTGTCAGTGCTGAAGGCGTAACCAAAAATACAAACAATTGACAGTGCTGAAGGCGTAACCAAAAATACAAAACAATTGCCAGTGCTGAAGGCGTCACCAAACAAACAAAACAATTGTCAGTGCTGAAGACGTAACCAAAAATACAAACAATTGTCAGTGCTGAAGGCGGAACCAAAAATACAAAAAAATTGTCAGAGCTGAAGGCGTAACCAAAAATACAAACAATAGTCAGTGCTCAAGGCGTAACCAAAAATACAAAACAATTGTCAGGGCTGAAGGCGTAACCAAAAATACAAACAATCGTCAGTGCTGAAGGCGTAACCAAAAATAAAAACAATTGTCAGTGTTGAAGGCGTAACCAAAAATGCAAACAATTGTCAGTGCTGAAGGCGTAACCATGACTACAAACCAATTGTCAGTGCTGAAGGCGTCACCAAACAAACACAACAATTGTCAGTGCTGAAGGCGTAACCATGACTACAAACCAATTGTCAGTGCTGAAGGCGTCACCAAACAAACACAACAATTGTCAGTGCTGAAGGCGTAACCAAAGATACAAAACAATTGTCAGTGCTGAAGGCGTCACCAAACAAACAAAACAATTGTCAGTGCTGAAGGCGTACCCAAAAAAAAAAACAATTGTCAGTGCTGAAGGCGTAACCAAAAATCCAAAACAATTGTCAGTGCTGAAGGCGTAACCAAAAATAAAAACAATTGTCAGTGTTGAAGGCGTAACCAAAAATGCAAACAATTGTCAGTGCTGAAGGCGTAACCAAAAATCCAAACAATTGTCAGTGCTGAAGGCGTAACCATAAATACAAAAACAATTGTCAGTGCTGAAGGCGTAACCATGACTACAAACCAATTGTCAGTGCTGAAGGCGTCACCAAACAAACACAACAATTGTCAGTGCTGAAGGCGTAACCATGACTACAAACCAATTGTCAGTGCTGAAGGCGTCACCAAACAAACACAACAATTGTCAGTGCTGAAGGCGTAACCATGACTACAAACCAATTGTCAGTGCTGAAGGCGTCACCAAACAAACACAACAATTGTCAGTGCTGAAGGCGTAACCATGACTACAAACCAATTGTCAGTGCTGAAGGCGTCACCAAACAAACACAACAATTGTCAGTGCTGAAGGCGTAACCAAAGATACAAAACAATTGTCAGTGCTGAAGGCGGAACCAAAAATACAAAACAATTGTCAGTGCTGGAGGCGTAACCAAAAATACAAACAATTGTCAGAGCTGAAGGCGTAACCAAAAATACAAACAATCGTCAGTGCTGAAGGCGTAACCATAAATACAAAACAATTGTCAGTGCTGAAGGCGTACCCAAAAATACAAACAATTGTCAGTGCTGAAGGCGGAACCAAAAATACAAAACAATTGTCAGTGCTGGAGGCGTAACCAAAAATACAAACAATTGTCAGTGCTGAAGGCGTAACCAAAAATACAATGAACACATTAATGAATACTTACTAGTACTCCCATCTAATACAGCCAAAACTGTTTCGTGCGTGACATTGTGCTACCTTGGTGTCAACCTTTGTAATCTTCGTGATGGTTTTATAGTGTAGTGTTCTGGAACAGAATAAATAACTGACATAGTAAGAGTTCATAAAAAAAGTATACAAGTATTCGTTGTATTATTTACCGGAACTGGTAAATGACAAAGTTTGGGTTTTATGCTTAATTCCTACTAATTCCTACACCATGTCTCAAAAATATAAACAGGAGAGAATAGGACTTTAAAGTAAAGTAGGTGGTTAACTTAACACACATACGAAATCACACTTATACAATTTGATATAAGATATGGTATCCCAAATATAAATTACACAACTGTCTCGTCCTGTTAGGACTCTTTGGTGATGCTTAGGGCCAACAAGATGCAAATCAAAATATGTCTAAACCAATGTTGAAACATGAGGAATTCTCAAGACAATGGCAGTGACTCTTTCTTGATACAAACCTCCAGGAGTAAGCACTCTCTACAAAGGATGGCAGGTGCAGAACTGACAGTAACGAGGTATTGTAAAATAATCCACACAACTTTACTATGATAAAGATATTGATACAATACAAGTGATAAAAACTATCCAAATACTTGTGATTTACGTGCAACAAGGATACCGACGGTTAGTGCCTTTACTGATGCTATATCACTCGGAATATTTGTGTTAATTTTCGTTTTGTGATTGAAAGAACGAAGAAATGATAAGTTATGATAAGCAGGTATATCAGAAAAATATGATTTATCGATAACTGGGAATTCTTACCCGTTATTATACGTACACACATGGTCGCCATGTAACTCGCTCTCAACAGTCGTCAGGAACAGCAAAATCAGCATTAGAAACATCACTTGGTTTAATTAACACCGATTCTGCAACCCTGAATGCAATAAGAATGCCCGTGTAATAATGTACCAAATACATAACAATATGTAATACCAGAAACGTCACATTTAAATAAATAATTTATAGATATATATATATATCACAGTAAATATCACAGGTTTCAACAAAGCAAAAAATTAATGTAAATGTAAACAAAGAAGCATTTTGGTAGAATGGAAGCTGTTAAAAAAATGTACTGTTTTGTTTCACCAACATAATTTTAGGATATTGTCATGTTCTGTATTCTTATAACTAATATCCATTCTACAGCATTAACTAAGCGTAGTGATTACAACTCTGTATAACAAGAATGATTTTAACGATGTCACACATAACAAAAGTAAGAAGGGTGTGAGGCGAAAATGAATTCACCAGCGTAACATAATATATGTCTACAATAACGCAATAATTCCAAATAATACATCTTATCAACAAATTAATTCGATGATGTGTTACTTATTTAGTCCTCTACTATTACATTTTAATGAAGAATTAATTGATACAATGAAAAACATCAAAACAAAATCTATTAACCATCTATTAATCTAAATTTAAAAGTAGAAAATAATCAAAATCAAAGGAATTCGGGATAATATTTTCAATTATATCTTGTGCAGTGTTGTGGCATTATGTTGAAGATTAATACTTTACCTTGAATATTTATCTAGCCTAGTGTCCAGCAGTATCATACACTGTGTATAGCCGATTAACCGTAATAGGAAGAATGTGTACGTAAAATGAACAGCATCCGGCCATGGGTTCTCATGTCACTAGTGTGGTATGGACTCTCGGATGTATGATGATGGTGGTGTTCGTAGTTAATGTGAGTCATCAATAGTGTTATTGTTCACTTCACCAATATCTATATATATATATCCACGAACGGCCCTCCTTGTGTCGTCAAAAATCACGCGTTACTTATTGGGGATGCTCGAATATATGTTAACTTAATTAAGGGATTAGAGGGCACCCCTCCTGTATTTCCAGGAACGTGTATGAATTGGTTTGATTTCGCTAACTGCGTATTAACTAACGAGGCGGTGCCAAGTCTTCAAAATGGATATTTGCGACATTAAAACAAGCAATAGCAAATCAAATATAAACAAAAGTTTATTAAAGCAGAGTCAGTGGAAATGTTTATTTGTGAATTTTCCGTGACTTCAGTCATAAATTGCTCTGACCCTTAATCAGATATGCAACCTGTTAAGCGTGCATACACTTAGCTGTTAAACTGAACGAACCGACAATTAAACCATTCGGCGTAAGTATGTGTCCTATTTCAGATGTTAAGTTAGTACATCGTCCTGTACTTTATCTCCAATGAAGAAGACTTTTATTTTGTTCGACATTTTTCTAATTGGCGTTGCTTGCCAATTTAGCAAAGAGCTGTTATAAAAAGAAATAGTTATTTTTCTATTTATAAAAAAATATCTCCGCCACAGGGATCGATTTCCAGACCTATTGATTGTAAAGCATGGAGTTTATCTACTGTACAATACCGACCTAAACATAAGATATCATAATTTTCTGTAAAATTACTGGAATTGATTAACTAAACTAATCTAAAAAAAGAAATTAAACAACAGAAATTGAACAAAAAAAATAAACTTCGACCCTGTATATGTGATGGGATTGTCTGTTTTATCTCGTGGTTTAGTTTAGTGGTGTGTCGGTACGTGAGATTTTAGTCGGTTAAGGGTTATATAAGAGCTGCACTACCGTTTGTGGTATCCTTGTTACCGTGAGAATTGCGGAGTTAATACACACGGAAGTGACGTATTATGTAGACTTGTCAAGTTTGATATTTCGCATGGAGCTAATTTTCACTTAACATTGACTATCAAATTCTGCGAACATTGGATAAAGCGAACTGTGACCAGTTTTTAAACAGCTGAAATGAAACAGTATGAAAAATAAATATTATTTTACTATATCTTAAAATGTTTTCCAAATTATGAAATTTTACAAAAGTCCGGTTATAAAATTGTGATAGACAAGTATATTTTGTTTCCTTTTATCGCTATATCAAACTGACAGATTTAAAGATTGAATATAACTGCATTGTTTCATATTTGTGTGTGTGTGTTATAATTGATAGTATTAATGTTATTAGGACTAGTAAGTTACTTTATTGAGTAGAAACATTATCCAGTGGTGTTACACTTATTCTTGAAAGTTAAACATCCATGTTAGACTCAGTTATATCATATAACATTAGTTACTTGGTGTAAATACCTATTAAGGTAATAGGATTGTGTCACCATTTCTCAGTAGAATTTCTTCAAATTTTGTAGTTATATTGCTTTAAAGTAAAGAAAATATTCTGCCACAAAAAAAAACATATAGGTTGTCAGAATTTTAAGGTTTCTAAATGGAAATTTATGTAAAATGGAGTGAATTTTGAAAAAAAAATGAAAGACACAATATTTTTACAAAATAATGTCAATAAAAATGATACTGACATATATTAGTATTGCATTAATGTATATCAATTTAATAAATGCTGAAATTGTGTAAAATTAATTCTCTATAGACGATATGCAGGTAAGAGTTATCGTTCTTGAAAAACTTCACAGTAGTGAAATAGGTAGCCGGTTTCCTGAAGTACAGAAAAATTGACTCATTGATAAAAAAAAAACCTGAATTAAAGCCTGGATTGCTTTGAAATACTTTAATATTGAGAGAACACACTGTTTTGTCAATAATAAACATACAATATTCATCAGTTTAATATTAAACATTAGAATTTGCGGAAATTGTGATACTGTCTCCCTACATTGGATTTTCGACAAGGGATGTACTTCCTGTTTCCGTTTATTAATACACTCCAATGACCTTAAGCACATATGCTAGGTAAGTAATGTTGACATTTCAGTATTCTGGTTTTTTGTTTTTTTATTTTTTTTATTTCTGTTTTTGAAAAGCATTTTACAGGCATTCTGTGTTAAAATTATCGCCCTTTTAACAGAAAGTGTTTATAGAACTATCTGATTTCCTCAAAAATAGATATGTTTGCGTTCCAAATTTATCTGCATTTAATCTATCAAAAAAAAAATCAGTAAATATATATATAGGAATAAAAATCTGCAGTTTACAGGTTTCGTAGTGTTGAAGTCTTTTAAAATGAAAGTCACAGTGATGTAGGGTGGATCCCTAAGTTAGCTTAATAAACTTTTTTTAAGCATCCCTTATCAATTTTATGTTAAGTTGCATTTAAAACACATAAAGCTATGATTGTTATTACATATAAAGTTAAGAAAAATAAAGAAACAGCAGAAACTCATTTTAAAATACCTGAAACCACAGTCCGCCTCTAGTTCTTGTTCTTCGTATAAATTCATAAATTCTGTTGCACTGTCCTTTATGTCACCACAGGTAACCCAACAAAATTGAGCAACATACTTAATAATAATATACAACATTTGATATAGCGCCCTATCTCGCTAGAATAAGCCACTCTAAAATGATTTACAGTACATAGATATACAATTTATACAATAAGCATATACATTAATCAATACAATTTTGAGGAAATCGCAGGCGCGAACTACTGGTCCTATGCCATCTGGCTAATATTCCCCTTTGTGTGTATGCCTGCGTGTGTGCTGGAGATTTATTATGTTCTGTTTGTAGTTGGACCATGCTTCCAACGTTATCATCTCAATTGAATGCTACAGCACAAATACCGCAACATCCACGCCAGACTATTTTATACTCCACCTGTGTTGTTGGAGTTGTGTGTGTAGGAGAAAAACACTTTCTCTGAATATTCCCTGCGTATGACGACTTCGGAGATCAAACCCCAGCCGCCAGCGTGGCAGGTCGGGTTTCTAACCACTCGACCAATCCACCCATAATGCAATATTTTTTTGCAGACCAATTGCGAAAGGATAAAAAAAACACCGAGAAGCACCATCACCACAATGAAACCGTTATTGATGTTGTTATGGTTTATTATAGAAACCGAGTACAGCAAGATACGACTCGGGCAGATATCCTTCCTGGACAAATAGAATGTATTTAGCATATCATACAGATTTTAATATTCAGGCCGTGAATTGCATTATCTGGTGTGTACGGTGTGTACCAGATATGAACAATGGTGCAGATCTTCCTGTTCTGTGTTGATCCCGAGTCATTTTAATTGCTCAATTTTTAAATGATCAAGAAAATAATTTTCTATATTATTAGCATGCGTAACTGACTTAAACAGGGATCAGAGAAATATGTTTTGAGATATTTAATCTTTATAAAACATCTGTTAAAATATTTGACTTCTTAACACTTTACATACCTCATCCTTATTCTAAACATGTGTATTATAACGTCTTACGTGTTTAGCAAATCAGTCTCTTTGTCTAAGACCGACCGATGCAGGTATGTTGATATGGTGTTGTCATTAGAAACGAGACCTATAAAACATCACACAGCAATAAAGAAATAGCAAGAGACCAATTGCCACTAAGCTCTGGGCGCAATGTGTAGGTTCCTGTTGTTATTCTGCACAGTATTTTTATTCTAACAAGTTTGTAGTGTTTCATGAATAAACTTCAAATAAATTAAAAATTACACATATAGATTTCATGACTTCTTTGATCAACACCATATCACAAATTTATCTGTACGGACTTTTGTTAAATTAGAAAAATATAGTGCAGTGCAATAAAAAAGAAACTGGACTTGTAACCTGAATGGAAACTATGAAACTGATAACGACGTTATGACCAGGAGACCGGCGTTAGACCGCATATTGTTTTCGTTCCTTTCGATGTTAACGTCGGTAAGTAATAGTCATAGCATTCGCTTACCAATTAAGCTTTCTAGACTAGATAAAGCATTTATTTACGTCGTTATTATTCTTAAAACAGTTAATAACCAATCCTTCTAAGAGGAGTTATCAATACGGGTCATCTGCTAGTGTTCGGCGGTGTTTTTATAATTACATTACAGTTTTGTTAACTGTTTTACCTCTCCTTATTTAATCCCCTCTCCGGTTATCAGCTGCAATTAACTAGATTTAATATAGCAGTTTTGATCAGTGAAATGGGGTAAGATTCCAGTAAGAAATTTTCAAAAGTTTGTGTTCCAATTCTCCACACATTTGTTTTGTCGGAAACATTGCTACACAATCTGAGTTCTGATATCCAGTGTTGCTAAGGGTCCTCGACCCAAGCCGAGAGCCAAAACAATGTGATAAAACAGTGATAAAACAATGTGATAAAACAATATGATAAAACAATTATAAACCAAAGCGAAAAGACATCAAAACAAAATTAAAACCACAGCGTTAACACATCAAAACACAAAAGGAACAGTTAGTGTTTACATTTCCCAATGTTTAATGGCTATAATAATAAAAATTGAAGAACAAAACCCCTCATATACTTACATTCAAAATATATCTGATATGATTTAACAATAATCATCTGCATGTCTATTAACGTTATAGTATAACAGTGTGGGATATAGTACTATGAACTATGCATTGACCTATACATTAAAATTACGTATGTGCGAAATAAATACTATATAATTCTGTATGTTGATGATCCGGAACTTCCAACCCTGAGTCAATGAACTTCGAATAAATTTTCAACAGAAACATGTGACTGCGGTTTTGGATATGTATAAGTCTTTCATTAGTGTGAAGACGAAAAGATATTTTGATACGATCTTTTAAGAAAATAACAAACTTTTAAGACCCATTCCCTTCCCAAAAAAAATCAATTATCAACTTTTGTCAAACAATCAAGACAGAGTATAATAAACTTTGATGGAATCAGGCTGGAAATGATTTTTTCCGGCGTTACTTCTGAAAAGAACATCACGCCTTGCGGAAATAAATTATGAAATAATCAATAAAGATGCATGATAAAAACAATAGAATCAACAACAGAGATGGGAGTGAAAACAATATAACAAGGCCATACGAGGATACGAACCCTGGACCTTTAATCATCTACTATTGCTTAACAGTAGGGAATTACCTGATCAGTGGTAGCTATCTAATGGACGAAATCAAGGGTGGGGGGGGGGGGCTACTGTATGTACAAATAACTATTATCTGTTGGTTTGCCTGTAGTTAGAGAGGAATCCTGCACTGCGTTCTGATTAGATTCGATTATCCTTTAATTGAAGAGCTTTGCAGGTAAATCGAATAAGTCCCGTTATAACTCTTTTGTCAGCGTCATGTTTAGAATAATACGAGTAAATAACTATATACACCATTCGGCTTTATACTTATACATGTAACCGTATCTCCTTATTCATTTAAATGGCTGATACTTATTCGTCACCTATTTCATTCAAATAAACCAGTTAACAGGCAGCATTGGCCAATGAATCCTATCGTAATGATTTCAATGTCAGAATTTTAATGACGTCACGATCAGTAAATCTATGTTTGACCAGTACACAAGAATAAGCCTCTCAAAAAGGAAGCTTACGGTGTGAATCATTGGAACAATCTGACTATCATCATCGAAATCCTTGGTTTCCGCCCTTGATTCTTTCATTTGCTCAACCGCAACTCTAGAGTATGTCATAACAAAATCGAAAAAAGCTCGTCAGACTAATCGACTTGTATCATCCACCAGGTATCGCGTGAAGAGCCTTCGATTTTGAAATGGAATATCCCAGGAGTGCAGAGAAGATATGTGTATCTAAAGCGGAATCCATAATTTTGAGGATGTCCAAATGGCACCATATGCGATGAAATATAGCACAATGCTACATGTGTAATTTCATATGGTGGTAATTACCCGCGAAATCTCCAGTGTCAGACAACCACTTAGGTTTAACATCTACATACGAATAAGAGCCGGCTTTTCCCGCAAATACCGAACTTAAATGTGCGTATTCAAACACAGGGCTAACTCTTTCGTTCGGTCTATCCTCTACTAAGTCTTCAAACGTGTTATATAAATCACCGGCGCCTGACCTCGATGTTTCCAAATGACTATAATCGGCGTCGTCGCTAACCCCCGCCTTTTGTCTTTTCGCCAATTCATTAAAACTGTCATATTCATGAGGGTCGCCATGCCTTGTTCCTAAACGACCGTTATAGTCTCCGGAACTTTTCCGTTTTCTATTTTTATCATTCAACTTGTCATTAATGCTATGTCTTTGACTTGAAACGCTCGTGTCTTCCGTAATTCGCATTGTTCGTTTTCTTTTCATTTTTTGACTTTTCTTTAATTTGTCTATCAAAATTAGCTCATCTGTAACCGTGTCGTAGACAAACGTTCCTCCCGGCACTGAACGGTTCCACCGAGGCCTGGTCCCGCCATGCACCTGCTGGTCACTCAACCCTGTCTTGTTCTGCGCATGTGATTCGGTGCTGACGGGGTCGGGAACATCTATATAGCTGTATTCTGATCGACTTGTATTTGCTGTTTGAGTGGACGATATAAGATCTGAAACCAAATTGAGAACATAAAGATGACAATGTTGTTAATAAGAATAAACATTAACTGTAAAGTCATACTGAATAGATCAGCAATAATTTCATTAAGAAAATATTACTAAACTTTAACATTGAGAAAACAAATACACCCAAACTGCAGAACGATGCGGACATCAAACTAAATACAACGCCTAACATATGTCTTAAAAATTATACAAATGCCTTTTGTATAAATGCTATGTAATTAACGATAGTACAGAACGATGTTTGCCGGAAGTGTTTCAATCTTATAAATATCAGCAGCATGGATAGGAGGCCAAAATGTAGAAGTTTCACCCCATGTAACATAAAGCCGAATCAATCGTCTAAACCGTTGAATAATAGAAACACCAGAGGGATTCACGTCTCAATGGCAACCTAACTACAAAATGTGAACACTATTGTATGCTCTCAGCAAACACGTTTCGCATGGAGTATCACAAAAACCACAGCCGGATTTTATTGTGCGACATTTAATAGATCAATGAAAAAGGTGATTAAATTAACATATCTTTATTCCAAATAGCACTTATGCCGTAATTGTTCATTTACAAAATTAAGAATCACACTTATATTGTCGCATTTGTTTATTTACACGCGGAAAATCGTATCATTAAAACATTATCATTTTTACTTATAAAACTATTTAACTGTTTAAACTTATTGCAAATATTTACATGATTTCATGATCATTTTTTAAGATTTTGTGATGTTATTAAGAAACCAAAATAAGAGAATACTGTAAATACAAGTGCAATTCGAACTGAAAATCGACCAAACTGGAGTTTCCTACATCAGTTTAAGGAGAATAAGACCAGGTGTTCCAGAAGGGTAAGCGTCTTCAGCTTCATGGACGACAACCGCCATTAAAATAAAGGTAAACTCCAAGTTAGTTCATGTATCCAAGAACAAACCGACGTTAGTGGCAATATAACATCAAGGCACAATAATGAGCATAATTATAAAAACATTGACCTTCACATCACACAATGAGACTGTAAATATTGATCAAATAACACCATCGTATTACGTGACATTATCATATAATCAAAGTTTTAAGAAAGCATTCAGATACATGTACACACAACAACAAGAGTTTTTTTGTATATGTATTTCATTTTGTGTAGTTTCTATAGGAATTGGAAAGAAAAAGTGTATACCTCGTTGACTGCTCTCGGTTCCGTTACCAAAGAAACTGCAAATCAAATTGATTATAATAAAGCTAAAAACTCGATTAAACAATACGTTTTCATGTTTTATCGAATATGGTCCTATGTTATCACATTTAATTAACTCCAAGTATGCAAGACTATACACAGACCTCAAATTACAATTTATTCATATAATCTGTAATCCCAAAAACAACATTGCGACTCTTCCCTTTCTTTGCTTTCTCTATAAACACAATTTTGATTGGTGTTATCACTACATAATTTACTTTAATTCTGAGTAATTGGGATTAGATAAAGTAATTTTGACAATTTGATCATTACAATCTTGATTTTATTCAAGTTCAAATTGTCAAATGAAACCTCTTGTTGGGGTCAAGACGGCACTATATATAAGAAATGAAATCAGTTAGATAACCTGTGTGAATATTGGCATATAAGAAAGAAGGAACTTACCTCCGGTTCCCGTGTGCTCGCCTGACAGCGCATACCACGCAGACTGATGATGTAGCCATGATCACAGCGACACCTATGACAGACGCGATAATTGAAGACAATGGTACCTCTCTCCCCTCGCTGATCCCTGTGCCGTTAACATCCTTTGTCATGTCTGTGAAATGTAAGTAATCATACTAATTGAAAGATACGTGTTTTAATGAACGATTATGCCATCAGATGAGTACATGTTGTTTTTAACACTTGTCAACAAGTCCAAGCCATGATTCTCATCTGTACTAATCTTGTTGAGGCAACTTAACAATAACTAAACACAAGATCCATCCCGGCCTTCTATTCAACTTTCTGCTGTCAAGACGTTAAATCGTTAACAACATGTATACAAAGCAACAGTGTGTGCAATGCAAACAGGGAAACAGTTTAATCGCTCGACGAAGAACAAAACGTGATCATGATAGATCACGTGACACTCTGTCTAATGTAACCTGAACGAAAACTTAAGTTTAAAATGTTTTGTTCACATATTCATTTCATTCCCAAGATCTTAAGTACAAATCAAATAATTCTAAAACTGCAATCATATTTTGCAAAGCTTCAGGTCGGTGCTACCAAAGTCCTGATCTAAAAACATGAAATGTGTCTAACAGTGCAGAGCATAAAGAAATCAAAGGTAATTCAAACTTGTCAAGAAAGTCGTTTCAACGTAGATGATTGCGATAACACTTGATTAAATGATTCCTAGTTCACTCATTTGTTGCTCATCAAAGTGGTACCGGTCACTCTCTATTGATAAGTCGTGTACGTTATTACGTGCGAGAAGGGCTGGTCGATGATAGAGCATCAGTGCAGCCTAAAAACGTATGCCTGTATATTTAAATAACCACGGTTCGGATAAAAAAAAAATGTAAGGAAGAACAGGGTACATGTACATCAGACAAGCCACACAACCTAGAAATACAATATTTATTGTTTCTATATATTAAATATACCCAGGGTAATAGTACTATATCAAATAACGTTTAAAACAAAACTCGTTTTGAATGGTCTAATTTATAAGACGTCTGGCGAATGAAAGATAACTGCTGGAAACAAACTTCCCGTTTCATAAGCAATACTTTAGCTGTAGAAAAGATAACGGCCTCGATAAATAAGATAATACTCTTATCACAGAACGTCATTGAAACAAATCCGGGAAGAGGAATTTTGCTTGCAATGCTTCCATACTTTTTTCCCTTTGTTTTTAAAGTCGTCGTTACGAATTTTGAATACCATTATTCTTACTGTTTACTTTTCCATTTGGGGATTTTAACTTGATAGAAAAAACGTGTCTTAAAGATCATTTGCATAATTGGTATTAGAATAGTAATGATCGTCATATGAGAGTGGCTAAACTGCAAAAACAACAAATATTTTGATGTGCAAATACTAAATACTAAATACTAAATACTAAAAACGTCACAAACGTTCATACCATAGAAAGAGGAAAAATTAAACAAAGAAGAAATGAACAAAGCAAAAGAGAGAAAACAGAGAGTAACGATCGTAGTTTCAAGAATCAAATACTTACCTGTGGTGTTTAATAAAACGGTACTGTCGCCTTCAAAAGAAAAAGGATGTTTTAGTGCCACAGATATTTATTTACAGGCGACATAGGAAATAGCGTGGACTAGTTAAACATTTCTACCTCAAAAATTACGAAATGGATACAGATTCAAAGTTTAACATTGTAAACAGGTTCTACGCACAAGGGGTAACACGCTGGCAGCATGGCATTTGGCTATTATATGGCATTTGACAGCACACAAATTCAATGCGACGTCTTGCTAAATGTAGTTGTAATAATAGTAGCTAAATGTAGTTGTGTTAATAATATTGTCTACTATATTCTGGAAATGCCAATAGCTCATCCGCTGGGTTGATAAATATAAGTGCAAACTAAAATGTTACCAAAAATTTGAAATACTGGCTTTAGAAATTCAAATCAAAGTGCATTTTCGTTGTTTTTTGTAATATTCACTTCAATGTAAATTTCTTGGGATGAAGATGATTGAAGATGTATGCCTTCGGCTTGATATTAGTCGGGAGGCCATATAGCCTATGTGAGTTCGACCATAACACCGTTTTTACTTTTCATTATATCGCAGCCTCCAAAACTTCATGAAATACTGAATAACAAACAAGTCGATAATATTGTGTTTCAGGATAAATGTCACTATTGCCATGTCTTTGTTATGTATGTACTGCTGTCTTTATTTTCAGATGAAATTCGAAACAAGTGTTCAGTAAAAATCCACCGCCGGACGGAAGAGAGCAAAGGAATAGTAAATAATGTAACTTGAACAAGATTGGTTGCGTTAAATACTCACTAGTTGTATCTAAGGTGATGGTACTGTCGCCTGTAAAAGAAAACAAATATAAACATATATATAGGATCTTAAATGAGTTTTAATTTCATATGAGATTTTATGAAACGAGTCTTAGGAGTTTTTATTAAACCTTCGAGATGAGATGAGGGGGTGTTATTGGTCGGTTAAACGTTTTTCTTGTCAGGGAGGCATTGGATACACAGGTAATATGCAGGTTATATGGTAAACATACATATGATACACGGAGATAACACTTTGACAGCACGCAACCGCTATTTAAATTACATATGACAACATCAAAATGATTTGTCATAGTACAATGTTACGTCAAACTAAATGTAGTTCTTATTGAAATTTGATCCACGGATCAGCAAGAGCCCATGCCTCCGGGGGACACAACAATTATATCACTCTCATTACACAGTAAGGTGTCAAAACAGTTCAACTTAATGTAAGTTTTGTGGCAGCTTCTTATAATTGTTTAATCGGCAAAACTCGTATTTATTGTTCTGATATTTATCGTTTCCATAATATTTAATAACGTTATACATATTTCAAATGCATAAAAAATTGTCGGAAATAAACGGGAATAACACGAATAATAAATTAGCAAGACAATGAACAACGGAGGGATGATAAAATTACAAAAAAATATATCAAAAAGACTTACGAAAGATATTTTTAAAGGAATAGCAAAGAATAAATGGTAAAACAATTGGAACAAAGATATGAACAATAACAGAATAACAAAAAATATCAACAAAAGAAATAGCAAGAGAAACAACAAGAACATTTTTCTAAATAAAAATATATAGCCAACAAAAATAATATACAAAAGCCCAGCCCACGGTATAACGTACGAACGGTTATTCGTGTCAATGTTTAGGATTGAAAAATGTTATGTCCCGGTCCACATTTACGGATCAGACGCCGGATTAGGCATCATTCCTGGCAATCTGTAGTGGTCCGTAGCTGTACGTATTGTGGCCTGGGTCAATCGTAGTAAAACTTTTATATCCGTGACAGTATTTGAACATGTTAAAAAATTCACCACGGATCAGACAACCGTAGTACATCCTTACTGATCCGTAGTAGAACGTACTAATCCGTTGTAGTCCGTAATAAACCGTTATTATCCGTACTTAAATTATTCGTAGTACATCTTAGCCAAACCGTGGTGCATCCGTAGCGGACCACGGATAGAGACTATTCCGGGGTCATCCGTGAGTTTCCATCCGTAGTGGATCCGTCGAGACGATCCGTGAATGTGTGACTAGGGCAGTATAGTCGTACGTACGAGAGAAAAAGCTTTCATAATAAAGAACACCACCAAATTGGAAATAAAAAATGGATGGACCAACAAAACATAACAGAGGATACTACAAAAGGAACAAGAAACGAAATACCAAATAAATTACATAAAGGAACTACAGAAGAGACAGAAGAGGCAACGACAGAAACACAAGTGATATTATCCACTTGTCCTTACATCTATTATGGTCATCATAAACATATTATGGCCATCCCTATAACTTTGATATGAGTTCATGCTCAGATTGAATACATGATTAGTTAATTTCCATATCACTTACGCCTGTCGCATGTTGTGGATGACCAGCCCGGCTTACACCGACAGGCCCCACTGGTAATATCGCATCCTTTTTCGAAATTATCACCGTTACATTTGCAACGTTCTGAACAGTTGTTCTGGTCAAATGCTCCTTCTGGACAATCTATTAAAACAAAATACGAATCTGTATAGAACGTACAATGACTTTACCTAACACAAAGCCATGTTTATCTAAGAAAACACAATCATGACTGCGAAAATGTTTACGAATCATGTTTTTTCTATTGTAAATGATATTTAAATTTTACGTCGTGAAATTGATTTCGTATATTTTCAGCAGCTAGGATTGTATCTGTGAGAAATTAGAAAAAAAGTCTATCATTTTTTAGGTAAAAATGTAAACATCATGACCGAGCTTCTAAAGATTGTGCAGGAAGTGTTTGCCCTCTATAATACAACTGTATGTGTTTGAACATCATTGCACTACACAGTGTACTTAAGTGTGTGTAAAAGCTGTAGTATTGATCGTGTTGTCTATGTGTGATAACTGTAGCAACATTGATGTGATCTTGGGTGTTAACGCTGTGATATTATTGATGTCCAATATAGTTGACGCTATAATGTTATAGGTTTTATCCCTGCGTGTCGACGCTGAGGCGGTATTGATGTAGACCTGGTGTTTTGTTGCTGTAGTTTAATTGATGTTATCCCTGTTGGCGCTGTAATATTGAGTATGGTGACCCTGTGTATTGGCGCTGACGCATGATTCATGATGTCCCTGTGTGTAGGCACTGTATTATCATTGATAATGGCGCTGGAATTGTATTGATGTTGTCCCTGTGTGTTGGCGCTGTCGTATTATTCATATTGTCCCGGCGTGTTGTTTTTATGGTGTTATTGATGATGTCCTTGTGTATTGTGTCTTTGGTGTTTTTGATGCTGTCCCTATGTGTAAGCGTTTTAATAGTATGGATGATGCCCCGCATGTTGACTCTGTCGTATCATTAAGTTTGTCCATGTGTATCGGTGCTGTATTATTATTGATGATGTCCATGTGTATCGGTGCTGTATTATTATTGTTGAATTCCACGTGTATTAGCGATGTATTAAATTGACGATGTATCTGTGTGTAGGCACTGTATTATTATTAGTAATGGCGATGTATTATTATTGATGATCTCCATGTGTATCGGTGCTGTATTATTATTGTTGAATTCCACGTGTATTAGCGATGTATTAAATTGATGATGTATCTGTGTGTAGGCACTGTATTATTAGTAGTAATGGCGATGTATTATTATTGATGATGTCCTTGTGTATTGGTGCTGTATTATTATTGATGATGTCCTTGTGTATCGGCGCTGTTTTAGTATTGTTGATTGCCATGTGTGTTAGCGATGTATTAAATTAACGATGTCCCTGTGTGTAGGCACTGTATTATTATCAGTAATGGCGATTTATTATTATTATGATGTCCCTGTGTGTTGACGTTGTCGTATTGTTCCTATTGTTCCGCTGTATTGAGTTTGTGACGTTATTGGTGTCTTTCGCAATGCTGTCGTTGATACTATCCTTTGTGTTCGACACTTTTGTATTATTGACGTTTTCTCTATGTGTTGACGGTTTGATATAGTGTATTTTAATACACTGTGTTCGTTGATATTGTTGACCGTGTGTCCTGTGTGTTGACGATCTGATATTGTTGACCGTGTGTCCTGTGTGTTGACGATCTGATATTGTTGACCGTGTGTCCTGTGTGTTGACGATCTGATATTGTTGACCGTGTGTCCTGTGTGTTGATGATCTGATATTGTTGACCGTGTGTCCTGTGTGTTGACGATCTGATATTGTTGACGTTGTCAGTTGTGTCTTGAATCTAGAATTATTGAGGTCGTCCCTGTGTTTTGACGCACTGACATGTGTCATGTTGTTCACTGTGAATTGTATTTTAGTTAATTTATTTGTTGTTTTATGTCCTTATCACGGCATTTCCTGCTACACATGATAAGTAAACAGCAGAAGCGATAAAAAGTGTTGCTGATGTTAGTTGATATGAGCTATTAACTGTTATAACTTACAGTATATGTCATAGTGGTTAAATATCAATTTTCTAGGTTAAGTGTATATAGTTGTCAGTTTTCTATTATGTCTACTTACGTTTTTCACAACAATCCCCTGCATACAGCCATTTGCATTCTTTGCATTTATTCCGTGATGATTCAAATTCCAAGCAGTTATCGGTGTCTTGACAATTTTCTGCACGAAATGAGAAATGTAGAGTAATGGAATATGGTCGTGTTCAGCGTAACGTTAAGACAGCTATTCATACAGAATACAGTTGTTTATTCCCAGACAACACATGTGTTCAATATAACAAAGCATCCAAACATGTAGATACAGAAATGCAAAATGAACACTTTACTGCACCGTGTATAGTCATTTCGTCTAGTGAGGACACATCAGTGATACGAACGGTCAAGGAATTAACAATCCCTGTCCAATACGCTCCGAAACTAATGTGAAAGTACAGCAAGAAGGGAAAAATCTATATACAAATATAAATAACGTTACAAAATCTTAAAACAAGTATTTCATTTACAGTGCCAGAATATCTTCCCTTAACATGGTTACGACCAACATCGGGGTCTAACGAACAGCTAAAGAACTTGCCGCATAATCAAGTAATTAATTGATTAATAATTCCATGTAACGATTACCCATTATCAATTTACCAGCCTAAACTGTTAAGGGCACGACAGTGATCAGTATATTTTCCCAATAAAATAAAGTACTTACCGCATAGTCCAGGTAAAATTACGCTGGTCAACAAGACAAAACAAATGAGGTTCAATAGTATCCTGTCCATTGTAGGGACACTGAAACTGAAACATAACTCATCACGGACCTAATATTAGTAAAACAAAAGCTTAGTCAGTGCCGGAACACATCCTGGTACAAGTGGGTCAGTCATACGTGCCAGTTTCCTCTGTAGGATATTTGGAGTATTAAATTGTGGTACAGTATCAGGTGTATCGTGTTACTGTCAGTCACAACCTATCAAAGAGTGTGTCCCCTGAGAAACGAAGGTCGATACGTGATACATAAGTTTTTACATAATTTGTCATTTTTTGGGACACTTAAATGCAGCCGACTGTACATGATATCAAAGGTGTATATCAAAACATACCTTAATTTTCAAATTTTGCGTTAGTTGGGGTCAAAGCGCATATCTAACATATTGTGCGAAATTATAATCAAAAGTTTGTCCCCTGAGAAACGAAGGTCGATACGTCATATATAAGTTTTTACATAATTAGTCATTTTTTTGGGACACTTGAATGCAGCCGACTGTACATAATATAAAAGGTGTATATCAAAACATATCTTAATTTTCAAATTTTGCGTTAATTGGGGTCAAAGCGCATATTTAACATATTGCGTGAAATTATATTCAAACACGTACAAAGAAGTAATATAAATATGTGATCGCAAACATTAAGTGATGTTAGTGATCCCTATCCCACTGACAGCAACTGTAGGCATGAATAGGAAATAGTTTTACCGACACAACAATAGCTTAAACAAAACATAACTAAGAGAAACCAATACCTTGCAGAACCTTTGTAAAAGAACATGACATTATTACAATCAACGAGGGTGTTATGAGAGTACAAATGCAAAGGGGCCAGAATTGGATTCGAACCCTGATCCTTCGATCACAATACGGCTTCTCTAAACATAAGGGCTACCTGACCAGCGGTAGCTTCTGGCCCAGTGATATCCAATACAGCAAATTAGGATAGGAAACTGTATTTATGTAAAACAACTACGGTGGAATTATCTTGTTTTACATGCAGTTTGACAGGGGATCCTTAATAAATAACCTTAAAAACGGATAACTGGTCGACTGACACAGTAACAGCCTTGTCGTGTACAATATAAGTGGCGGGGTTGAGACGACAAGCAAACGTTCCCCTTGCAATTCATGTACACGTCACCCTTCAAACTTCCGGCCATTGACAGACGAAACACCATGTGTGTATATATAGCTTTAAGTATGTTCATATACTATACATACGATATCAAGTTTGTTAATATATTACAAGGCCCAATATATGGACATAAACAGTACTCTGTGCGAAGATATAAGCCGTTGTAGGGGAGATTCTAGCTGCGATAACGTAGCTTTCTGACGACGAGAGATTTTTTTATATATTGCGTCGTCAGAGCTACGAAGCGGTCCTATACCAACTGATGGAGCAAAATCAAAAGTGTTAATCTGTAAGATTGCATATAATTCACGCTTCATATGCGTATAATGTTATCAAAATATTGCATAATTGTTGAAAAAACGGATCCTTACCCATGCAAAAACACTTTTACGAAACTAACAAAGTCCGTCTTGGGGAAAAAAATAGAAACGACCCCCATGACAGATCACGCGTGATGTTATCTCAATTATCCTTTCTATATATGGCCTGCATGGCCAAATATAGTATTACTACGGATGCCGTCATGTTTACTACAATTTCCATATTGGGTCATGACACCCATATTTGAACGTCTGACCTATATCGGAAGAGAGACGAACTTTCCAACATGGCGTTCAATTCAGATTTCGATTACACTTGCTACGTTAACTTGATAATTTAACGACAGTTTAGGCAGAGTTAAACTTCAAGTTGTGCAGGATATCAACAGAAATAGTTCATACTACAAACTTATTTATGGATGTGGACCAATGAGCTGTCAATTAATTCTAAAATCGCCCCGGTGTGATGGCATGGGATCGATTTAATACCCGGCCGAGGCAGAGGAGGCCGGGTGTTAATATTAGTACTAGGAAGATTCGTGTAGGACGTTTGTGTAGAAGTGACAAAATCAGCATTTTCAATAGTGATATCAGTAATATAAAAAAGTAATATATTTGGGGAACTATGATATAAAGAATATTTTGGTAGTGGTGATCAATATTTTTGTTAAATGGAAAATATAAAGATTTTTGTTTGCTGTGGCGATGTAAAGGGATCATAAAATAAGGAAAACATTATTAACACAAGCACGAACTTAGCATTTTCTTTTTTAATGGTTCTTGAAGGTTGTTTTCTCGAAGTTAACAGTTTGGCGTTCACGCGGACGGCCGAGATTCAAATCCTGATACACTCGTTGTATTTATTGCTATCTCTTGAGCACCACTGATCACTTCGGGGCTCTTTAACAGAATAATCGTCAAGATAGGACTCAAAATCGCTGCACTCGTGTTTGAAAGTACGTGAAAGTGATATATAGATATGTACAGGTAGCAAATTCATTACATTTATGTAAAACTAATCTATGAACATAAAATTGTATATAACTAACTGTTCAGACTTTGGAAAATATTCATTCATGACATGAATTTTATTTACGATTTTTTCTTTATATGTTATATCAATATTAACTGCAATATTTCATATACAAATTCAGAAATTATTTATTTTGACACACTGTAAATATTTATATATTCATGAATACTTTGATTTTCACAATTGTGATTGAAAAGAGGCATATATTGTGTATGTAAATACATTTATTTAAATAACTGAACTGAAAACAATACACCAAAAACGTTCGTTCCAAACTGCATTTTGCCTAGATAGTAGCAACTAAGTTTCATTGCAAATAACAAGAAATATCGAATTCGTAGAACAGTTTTTAAATACAACTGTACAAGAAATACCAATGTAGTGACCAATCATGCATGCTATGATTTCAAGATCCTATCAACGGAGCTGAAAACAAACAAAAAGTCAAACACACGTACATCTAAACAAGTACAATAATAAAAAATGGATTGGTGTTAAATATCTATTGTTGTTTGATCTAGAAATCAAGAAACTGTATACAGCGGAAACAATCGACTGTTAGTCCCTATCTACAAATCGACTGTTAGGTTAGGGGTGCCCTCCAAAACAATGGAACAGCAGCAGTAAACATTAAATCAAGGTTCTATCTATAAACTGACTGTTAGGTTAGGGGTGTCCTCCAAAACAATGGAACACCAGCAGTAAACATTTAACCAAGGTTCTATCTATAAACCGACTATTAGGTTAGGGGTGTCCTCCAAAACAATGGAACAGCAGCAGAAATCATTTAACCAAGGTTCTATCTATAAACCGACTGTTAGGTTAGGGGGGTCCTCCAAAACAATGGAACACCAGCAGTAAACATTTAACCAAGGTTCTATCTATAAACGGACTGTTAGGTTAGGGGTGTCCTCCAAAACAATGGAACAGCAGCAGTAAATAATTAACCAAGGTTCTATCTATAAACCGACTATTAGGTTAGGGGTGTCCTCCAAAACAATGGAACAGCAGCAGCAAACATTTAACCAAGGTGCTATCTATAAACCGACTGTTAGGTTAGGGGTGTCCTCCAAAACAATGGAACACCAGGAGTAAACATTTAACCAAGGTTCTATCTATAAACGGACTGTTAGGTTAGGGGTGTCCTCCAAAACAATGGAACACCAGCAGTAAAAATTTAACCAAGGTTCTATCTATAAACCGACTGTTAGGTTAGGGGTGTCCCCCAAAACAATGGAACACCAGCAGTAAATATTTAACCAAGGTTCTATCTATAAACCGACTGTTAGGCTAGGGGTGTCCTCCAAAACAATGGAACAGCAGCAGTAAATATTTAACCAAGGTTCTATCTATAAACCGACTGTTAGGTTATGGGTGTCCTCCAAAACAATGAAACCGTAGCAGTAACATTTAACCAATGTCCTATCTATAAACCGACTGTTAGGTAAGGGGTGTCCTCCAAAACAATGTACCAGCGGCAGTAAACATTTAACCAATGTTCTATCTATAAACCGACTATTAGGTTAGGGGTGTCCCCCAAAACAATGGAACACCAGCAGTAAAGATTTAACCAAGGTTCTAACCAAGGTTCTATCTATAAGCCGACTGTTAGGTTATGGGTGACCTCCAAAACAATGAAACCGCAGCAGTAACATTTAACCAAGGGCCTATCTATAAACCGACTGTTAGGTTAGGGGTGTCCTCCAAAACAATGGACCAGCGGCAGTAAACATTTAACCAAGGTTCTATCTACAAACCGACTGTTAGGTTAGGGGTGTCCTCAAAAACAATGGAACAGCAGCAGTAAACATTTAACCAAGGTTCTATCTATAAACCGACTGTTAGGTTAGGGGTGTCCTCCAAAACAATGGAACACCAGCAGTAAATATTTAACCAAGGTTCTATCTATAAATCGACTGTTAGGTTAGGAGTGCCCTCCAAAACAATGGAACAGCAGCAGTAAACATTTAGCCAAGGTTCTATCTATAAACCGACTGTTAGGTTAGTGTGCCTTCCAAAACAATGGAACAGCAGCAGTAAACATTTAGCCAAGGTTCTATCTATAAACCGACTGTTAGGTTAGGGGTGTCCTCAAAAACAATGGAACAGCAGCAGTAAACATTTAGCCAAGGTTCTATCTATAAACCGACTGTTAGGTTAGTGTGCCTTCCAAAACAATGGAACAGCAGCAGTAAACATGTAACCAAGGTTCTATCTATAAACCGACTGTTAGGTTAGGGGTGTCCTCCAAAACAACGGAACAGCAGCAGTAATCATTTAACCAAGGTTCTATCTATAAACCGACTGTTAGGTTAGGGGTGTCCTCCAAAATAATGGAACAGCAGCAGTAAACATTTAACCAAGGTTCTATCTATAAACCGCCTGTTAGGTTAGGGGTGTCCTCCAAAACAATGAAACAGCAGCAGTAAACATTTAACCAATATTCTATCTATAAACCGACTGTTAGGTTAGGGATGTCCTCCAAAACAATGAAACAGCAGCAGTAAACATTTAACCAAGGTCCTATCTATAAACCGACTGTAACAGCAGCAGTAAACATTTAACCAATGTCCTA